ACAATCATCTCCAGGGTATTTTAGAGCCTCCTGACAGCTTTGGAGACCTTGGAAGTTTATAAGATGTCACTCCAGTGAGGTGTGCTTGGAACATTTACCTTGATGCAGCACTTGGTGGGTGGCATTTGTCACCTGTTTTTCTCCGACACACTCTATCTATTAAGTGACAGCAAAGGCACGTAAGTTTGGGTGATGCACTGACTGTGATGTCAGGCTGGAGATGATGCAGTCCCCAAATACCACTCAATGTTTGCAATAGAGGAACATTTGCTCTGTCAGTCTTATATCTAAATTATATGACTTTCTTAACACAAAAAGCTGTCGTTTGAATTCACTAATTGAAATTTTGCTTCTGTAAAGTTGCACAATGGACCAGTTAGTGACAGATGCATTTTGGATATAAGAAGAATTTATGTAATGGCTGAAAACGGCCCTGTTGCCAGAAGAAAATCTTGGCATTGTATGTTTTTAGCACTTTTCATACGTATCATATAAACGTTTCTAAAGGGACATATTGTATGAGCTTTTGTCATCAGGAGGTGGAGGGGATGATGGGGTGGCGTGTCACCAAGACCCCTATCAAGCTGCAGACCACTTTTCAAGACCACCACACAAAAAAAACTGGTTGCGATTTGGCGAGTCATTGCTGTGATCCCCATGGCTTTTTCAGACACCAAATGTGGGTGTTTTGTAGCAACCTGCTGTTGTGTTTTCAGCTGCTTTTAGGCACCAAACTTTGATGTTCTGCAATGACCTGTTGCTATTTTTCCAGTGGGGATAGCGCCACGAGAATCCTTATTCTTTTTACCAAGATGTTGCTGCGTTGTTTGCCAGAATAGCGGCGCAAAAGTGGTTGTTTTCTAGTGAGACATTGCTGCTTTTCTAGTGGGGATGATGCCCCCAAAACCAGGTATCTTAAGCTTTAAATGAACCACAAGTTTACCACAGTGTTGTTGAAATTAATAGTTTCAACATATCTGCTACATAATAATGTGCAAACGTAATGTATCAGTGGTATTTAGAAACCTACTATGCCAAGATTTATACTGACAAATGGGTTGTTGACAATATTAAAAAAACAGACCTTAAACACCCATGTCTGACTAATGTAAACTCTTTTAAGGGCACATGTGAACTTGCTGTGAAAATGGTACACGATATAGCTTGCTAGGGCATCAAGGCACCATACCATTTTCATTATTTCACCATGCCCCCAATCTTCTCCTAATCTTAAAGGGTCAGTTCTCCTAAATCACAAAACAACCCATTTTCCACAGTTTTATGGAGTTATCCACTGCTGAGAATTCTGCTGCCACCCCAATACAAAAAAGGTGAAGAAAATTTCATCTCATGGAAAACTTTCTTTCTTCTCATTGCTACCAAATCACAGACCTTATAGTGAACCGTTTTTATTTCAAGTATTCTCTGTGGAAGACATACAGTAGTTCCACTAAGTGTAGTAGTTGCTGAATAGACGGAATTCCCTCCTTGCATGTCAGCTTAATAAATATTTAACATAAAAGAATCTGATTGCAGATGGCAAGGATGTCCTTTTTGTTGAATGGAGAACTGTCCCCCTTAATGCTGCACAACCTTGTTATCAATCCATTGTTTGTCGGGAAAAGGCTCAAATGAACTGCTAGTGAAAGGAGAGCCAATACTGTGGGCATGAATCTCCCAGTCTCGGTCCAGAGAGCAGCGGGGCTGATAGAGATCCTGGGACTGGGTAAAAATAAATACATCAGCTAGTGCTTGGTTTACGTCACAGAGCAAAATTGCAGTAACATAAAGTACAGTGAGGATGGCTAGACACACAGCAACTAATCCGCTGCTAACCATTCAAGTAATTCAGTCCTTGCTCAGAACAAAAAAATCAAAGAGTTACAGACAGGAATAATGCGGTGCTTATGTTTAATGTTCAACAAAGAAATGTAGCCATCTGCTTCACTGCAGTCTTCAGTTGTTCTTTAAACCATTTACTCGTTTTTTTCTTTCATCACACAGACTGAAAAGTATTTCTGTGTGTGTGTTCCTGTGGTGAAGGGGAGGGTGCATAGAAATCATCTGTCTAAACAGTTATGTGTGTGGAGTCTGAACACCTGTTTTCTGTGGACCGGGTGGGTTGAACTGTTGGTGTGCTGTTTCAACAAAAACTTCAGGGGACAAAGTACCTGTGCTTTAACCTTCATTTAGTTTAAAAACACAGTAATACAATATGGATGTGGCATACAGAGACATTTTCAACATGAGCAGACCCTCAGTGTGTTTTGGATAATGGAGGAATTAACAGGCTACAGATACAATGCTGATAAGGCTGCTAAACCTGTATGATAAAGTATAGTGAATGTTAAAGGGTACCTTTGGTATTTTTCAACCTAGACCATATTTTGCAAAGTTTTCGTGTCTAAATGACTAATGGGAGTATTTTTTAAAAGTGGTCCAGTATTGAGTTAGACTGCGGCAGGCAGACTGCGGCAGCTGCAATACAGGCAACAATGTAACCTCTCACAGCATTCAATTTACGTCCATTTAAAGTGCTTGTTTTTGTCACTGACAGGCTCAAATTGTCATTTTAAGTGTCTGACAACATCATGGAAAGCATTCCTACAGAGTTATACCTTTTTGTTAAAGCATATTATGCTTTGTTTGTTTTTTTGTTTTTGTTTTTTACCGGAAACAGCCCCCAAATCCAACACATTCTCACTCCGACCTCGTCACATAATGCCGCTTGGCTGTGGACTTTCCACTAGGGATGGGCATCCATTTTCAATTATCGATGATTGATTGTTAAGGCTTTTGATCGATCACAAATAATTTTGATTGATAGTCGCAGTGTTTCCCCTACAATGCCTGGCATAGGTCTGGCGAGCTGCCGTGCCAACGAGACCCCCCGCCCGGTGAGTCGCCGTGCCAACGACACCCTTCCGCCCGGCGAGCACGGCGGCTTGACGGGCCTACGAGACCCCCGCTGGACCTATGCCACGCAAAAAATAAGAAACAGACAGAGGCTCTCATCGCTCTCCAAAGCCTCAGCGGCTTCCCTTGAGGCCTCTGAAAACACTACGCCATTGAAAGATGGAGATTTTGCTGAAAACTGAAGCCTGCAACTCTGGCTGGCAACAGTTGTAAACACCCAGGGGTGAACTGCGCATGCGCACCATTCTTCCTCTTGGGTTGAATCTCAAAACTGGGGCAGCTGCGCTCTCTTGCAGCGACAGTCTGCACTGCACTCTTTTGTTTTGTCTCTTTTGAAATACTCGCTTATCAATTAATCGATAATTGATCGTTAATTTTTTTGATGATCGAATAATGAATTTTGATCGTTTCCCTTCCCTACTTTCCACATCTGCATATGACATTCAGTGTAGCCTGGGTGCGTCTGTTAATGTTCTGCAACACCATGTCGACTTCAGCCTGTAACATGCATTGTGTCTTTTCAAAATACACTTCTGTTTTCACAGGAAATGTACAGTTTACATACAGTCTCTTTCAGAATAAACGTACTACGTCGGTACAACACTGCTCATTACGTTATTTTTCCTACAACAACAAACACACGTGGTTATATTTAATCAACACACGCACATTGATAGGTTTCAGCAATAGAAACACATGGTTAGGTTTGAAAAAATAACAAGCTGTGGCTTTCCATTCATACAGGAAGTAAATGCTGGCCTCCTACCTGATTGCTGGACCCAACCACCACCCCTACCACCCAACCTACTCGGACTTTTCACCCCCTAAACTTCTGTTGTTGTCTGGCAACATTTCCCCCGGACACCATTACACACTGATGGTGTCTGGCCACATATCATGCTGACATGAAATGACTGCGTTTTTTGTTGGTATCTGATGCGGAAGTCACTGCCCAAGCACCAGTATTCAATGACCTCAGAATGAAAACATGCTGCCAAATCGCCAATCGTTAAACCCACCAGACTCCATTTAAATAAACACTAATTTTATCAGTGTGAAAGGCACTTAATTCAAAGTCAGCAGAAACCAAATAAAACTCACAAAAGCCATCTTGGTCCATCTTTTCACTTTTCCAATAGTCACCAACACTGGTTTGGTTAAAATAAACCCTTAATTCACCCAGTTAGATGTGAAAATATGCTGGCTCTGTACACTCTAAAATCACCGTCTATTCATATGGAGTCTGGTGGGCTATGTTTCTGGTTAAATCAAAAGGATCTTATTCTTGAACAAAATGATTTATCTCTGTAGGGATCCTTTCCATTTTGTTGTCAGACACTTATAATAACAATCCGAGCCTGTCAGTGGCAAAAACAAGCACTTTAAGTGGACTTATATTGAGGGTGCACAAATGCCCCAAGTAGTTAACATTGCAGCCTGTCTCGCAGCTGCCAGCTGCAGCAGTTTTGCTCAATACTGGACCCATTTAAAAAAATGTTGTTCCCATTAGTCACTTAGACAGAAAAACATGGGTTAATAGAGTGCAGGTTGAAAAATACAGAAGTTACCCTTTAAAGTTGTTGCCTTCCTCACAGTATTGCGCCATGGCATTCTGACTAAAATAGTATGTCTATGGAATATGTTGCTGTAGGCCTGCCTTTACAGCTGAGAGCTGTCACTTGATTATGTCGGATTATCTACAGCGTATTCTGCTCTTTATACATGTCTAATATCTATGCCGTGGGGTGTTAGGTGACGCACACACAGGTAGGGTTTTGTTTTGTATCAAGATGAATTATGTTAAGACTTTTTGTTTTGTTCTGATATTTACTGTTATGCTTGACTTATTGCACACGAAGTCACCTTAAAGGCAAAGCAAATCCAAATGAATCAGGCCCTCTATTCAGAGAATTTGATAAGATGATAATACATCAAACGGTGTTTAATTCCCGCACCTGGCTCAGTTTGTGTGAACTCCCGCTGGGCATTCATCCCCCCCCTAATATGAAAGCTTTCAGCGTGTGTTCCTCTTGTTTGCTGAAGTCTCTGTCAGTGCATTTCAGTAATCATGACAGAGTGGGAGGGCCACTCGGTGCAACTAATAAGGACCGCGATCTAGCAGGCGATCCCACTGTGACTTTTATTTCCAAGTCCTGGAATCCGGAATCAGACTGATCGTAATCACACATGGATTATACTCTTTTCGCCGCTTTTGATTTGTTTCTGCCTTAGAGGGAACTTTCTCACCAGCTGTAAGTACTCAGAGAGCAAAATTAATTTCACAGTCAATTCCAAAATCGGCTTAATGTAAATATCAGCGTGGTAACCTATTGGAAACCCCTTCATAACGGACTCCTTTTCTATAATGTCGCTCGGGATTTAAGTGTTTAATTTTCCCCCGCATGGCTTTCTAACTTGTGTGTGCACTGTTAACCGGGACACATGCTTTATGAACAGGTTATATGTCTGATTTATGAACGCTCTGCAGCAGTAAGCATGCACCGTATATTGCATCACTTGTTAACAGCAAAGTGCGAAATGTTCGGGACAGTGGGAGAATATCAAAAGCTCCATGGGGTAATTATTAAAAAATATAAACAGCCAATCAGCGGTCGCGCAGAGAAACACGCTTGTTTGAATATTGCAAAGTGTTGGAGTGAAGTTATGTGAATGAATGATGGAGAGTAACTTTACTGTCGCTCAAACTGTGATATATATGTGTGAGTGTAGCCCACAAAAACAAATGCACTGTCAATTTAGGTTTGAAATCCATGCAGGTTTACAACAGATGGTGCAGCAGCGTTGCTGGTGTAACAACGTGTGGTCTTAAAGTACCAATCTAACTCCCACAGGATCCTCAATAATAAAAATCAGTCATGTAAAGCTGTGGAGTGACTGTGACTGCAGGATTTAGAGCTGCTAGTGTGTATTGCATGCATTTGCAGAAATGAGGGGGAATAACATTACGCCTTCACACAGACATGGAATGTGATACCTCTGTAGTGCTACTTGTCTACGGCCCATGCATGGTTGTAGTTGTAAGTGTCACGGTCACTTCATCTCCAAGCGCCATGATACTGTAAGGCCTGCATGCAAAAAACTTTATGATCCAGTGGGAGAAGGCACAAGTGCTTGCAGCACGGATGGGAATTAATCATTGGGGGGGGGGGGGATTAATTTGGATAAGACAGTAGGCAGTTAAAGAGGGAGAGTATCATGAAAAATAATGTTGGTCACACTTTGCGAGACTGTGCATATAAATTAAGTTAATGTGTGGTGGCTGCGTTCTGGTCTGTGGAGGTCAAGTTCAGTACTCAGCTCTGTCTTCAGTCATTTCTTCCCCTAAGTGGAAATAGATAAATGTGCACCAGGAAGGAAGGATTATGGTCTTTGTAACGGGATTACAGCTGTGTTGTCACAAAACTACATTTCCAGGTGCTGAAAAAAAGTGATTATGAGTTATAATTTGCCACTTCATCTTCATTTTCTGTGGGTTTGGCGAACAGATGTGACCCGTTCTGTTGTTTATAAAAGAGTAATCACAAACCCAGATGGATTTTGCATTTATTCAGTGTCACGCTTAGATAAACCTGTTTGTGGGCTCCTTGTGAGTTTCTTTTTTCTTTTTGAGGTCCTTGAAAGTCCTTGGGAAACAATAACAAATGCTTGAAATGATATTGTGCTTCTTGTGTTCAGTCATCCTCACTATTCTGGCAGCGCACCAGTTTTGCAGGCAAAGCAAAGAAGTTACTTCAAGTGTTTAGTTTGAGTTTGAATAGTCCACTAAAATTGATTGACTTTACTTTGGATCTGACTCGTACCATCCAGGATGACTGTACTCTAAAATAATCCTTGCCTTCTTTGCAATGGCATGAGAGTAATGCAGGAGATTTGGTTTGGCATTAAAGTCAAATGGCTCAAGAGACCCACTTGTAACTGGAGGTTTCCCTGTTTGATCCGTGCATGCGACATCCTTGAGCGAGACACTGCTGACAGCTTCCAGATCAAAACACAACAGAGTGTTAATAGAGTACTATGGAAACAAAGATCAAAGCTTTGGCATTGTGTCTAAAACCAGACAGAACAATACATGAGGAGCCAACAATCATGTATCTTCTCATACATCACTTTGTGGCACAGACTGTAAACTTAATCTGGAACATAGATGTATTCAGACAAAGTAAAATAATGATAAAAACTTCAGCATCTCTTGGGTAATATATCTCCCTGTTTCATTGTCTTCATCTCGTCATAGTCTGTATTTTGCATCGGCACAGTTCCACAGCTAATCTGTGGTGATGACACACTGACCTAATGAATTACACAATGTCTATGCAGAACAAGAGCAAACTTGGCTTGCTAGTTAACAACTGAAACCTCAACATAAACATAGCTTAGTGTGTAATGATTTAGCTGCACTATAGGCATCTCCATTCATCACTGTATGGCAGGTGTTCATGAAAACTAATGAATGAAGGACTCAGAAGTGCATTCTCCAGATTGAGTGGCTTTATATAAACACACAAAGAGGCTTTAGGGATGCACAAGTGTGCCTGAGAGTGAGGGTTTAAATAGGAGGGGTGATTTACAGTTGAAATTGAATTTCACAGTAATAAAACTTGCACGTAATCTTATTTTGTGGATGTTGTTTTAAAAATGAAAAGCCCTGATTTGAGGGGAACTAAAAGAACACTGTGAAATATGCAGAGTGATATAAAGGAGGGAAGTTGAGTCTGAAGTTTTTTCCATTGTAGTTTGATTCGTGATTGGACGGACACCAGACTGTCCCAGTGGAGGGCTAGGTGAAAGTTTCTGTTGAATAGCAAGTTTATAATGAAGGTCATTGCCTTTGTTGTTACTCGCATGCAGCAGAACATATTTAAGATAAGCGTAAGGCATGCATTTCATTCATTATTTCATTGTCGTATCAATGTCAAATTAAACAGTATTGTAAAATAAAGACTGTTTCTGTTTGCATCCAGGTTGGGACTGCCTTCTAGTGCCAGAGCCATGATTTGCTTGTTAAGATGGGCTGCTTTCCTTTGGACTGTAAATTTCATTCCTTGCACCGTTGGAATGGCAGTGAATGAACGGACAGGTATGTATCTTTGTTGCCCTCAACTTGTTTTAACAATTTTGAAAAAGATGTATATTTTAGCACAAGAGTAGCAGTTGAGGTGTTTCTCTTAAAAGTCTCTTAAATGTCCCGGAGTCAACATAAAGCACACAAGTTATCTATAAAATGAATTATCTCTCATTAATGTCAAGGTAAAAAACAGATATAGATATAGAGCAACGAGCAACGTGCATTAAACACACGGCACTTTAGCACTCAGCACTTTTTCTTGCACTTTAGACGTCTCTGTATGTTTCTGTGTTGTGANATAGAGCAACGAGCAACGTGCATTAAACACACGGCACTTTAGCACTCAGCACTTTTTCTTGCACTTTAGACGTCTCTGTATGTTTCTGTGTTGTGATTGTTAAATGTAGTCCATGTCTGTTTTATGTGATAGAACTGTCATTGTGATGATGTGTACCTGTGATGATGTTTTTATCTTGTCCTGTGAAGCAATGAAATGTAGCACTGTGCCCAAGATGAATTTCCCTTAGGGGACAATAAAGTTTACCTTACCTTACCTTACCTTACCTCACCTTACATATGACAGACAGATGATTAAAATGCATTTGTTCTTTAGATAACTGTACATTAAAACTTTTAATTACATCCCTTTGACTTAAATCCAAGTGCAGAAGGTAACACATACTTTATGTTCCACAAAGGGCGTTCAGAATGTTGAACAAAGCATTCAAGGTTCATGATTTATTTTCAGTAGCACCCTTTGTAATGCCATTATTTGGGGAATCCAATTTATATGTTTGAAAAAGACCCAGAGTGTGACAGCTCGAACCCAAACTTTATACTTGTAAAAATGTTACGAGACTATCAGTATTCATAAAGTCAGTCTCCATTTAATTTGTGTGAAGGCAGATATAGGCTTGCTTCTAAATTACATCTCAGAGCCTTGTCTCTGTTGGTTATTTTTTTTTTTAAACTTTAAACTAGTTTTAAAGATTAATGGGAAGAAAAACACTGTGAATTGGTTTTCTGCTCTGATGTTGATTTCTGCTGAAGAAGTTTTGATTTTCAAATGAAAGGAAATGCACTATGGAAATGAATTCATGATTCAATTTATCGTCTTCTGTTCTTTAATACTTATCAAAACGGGTTCTTACTATAAATGAATATCTATATTTGGCACAACCAACTTCTTTGTGGCTTTCCTCTAGATGGCTCATGTCCCCCTCTGAGTGTAGAGGAGCACAGATTTTCTGATGTCTTAGATCGTCCCCTGGACATCACAGGTATGTTCTGAATTGTTCCAAACAATCGCTTTGTAAAGAAGTCAATACTGGCTTGTTGGTAAATCTAGTGACCTGCTCTAAACCTGTCCACAGGATTCGATCTCACAGAAAAGTTTCTTCTCCGAAAGGGAACAATCACAGAAGACCTGCCATCGTTTCGTTTAGGAAGCAGCCCGCTCATTAAGACAACAGAGTGAGTAATATGCTCATGTGTGTTTATTTTCTGCTTCATTTGGGTTCAGATGTCAGACTCAGGTTCCTTCTAACATTTGAGGATAACTCAGACAGACAGCCTGCATGTCAGCCATGACCCAGTAAATAATCCCCCTACATGCTGCTTCATTTCTACCCCTGTCATGCTCTTGCTATGGAGCTGTAGCATGATGCAAGCACGCTATAAGATGCAGCCGCTCATGTGTGGCCGAGGCTATGAGCCGTATTAAACTGCAGTATTCATTTGGATCAACACCTAAGCTATTACTATTTTGCTCCCTCATGTATGGGTTCTGAAATGGAGGTTATGTCGCACAATTCCAATACTGCAAGATCACATGATGCTGTAAAAATACCTGAAATATTATTGCTATTATAGATTTCTGCTGTCCAGACCATGATGACGGGTTGAGCTTACTTTCCTTCTGATATTCTCAGAAAAAAAAAACCCAGTGTAGCCATAACTGGATTCCATGAAAGGGCTGGCTTGAGGCAACCCAGATATACCCTGCTCAGAGCAATAGTTCCATTTGCCTCGGCTAATAAGGGCAAGCTGTGAGGTGAGCTGTTAGACAGGGAATAATTTGAACAGAATTAATATATATTGCGTTTATTCTAGAAATCTCCTAAGGGCAAAAAGTGGGACATAAAGGAATGAAAAAAATGTCAGAGCACGTATAATAAGACAGGAATATTAAAATAACTACATAAATGACACACTGAGGTGCCATTTACTGAAGACCTTTATTCCCCCGGTCAGCTGGTGGGACCGCTCTGTGACTTCACCTCAATGCTAATGTGATGATATAGTGGGAATTTAAATTTGATATAATATTTATAATGGCATATTACACTTTAACATTTTGTACCAGTGGTTGTTGTGGTGAATTTGAACCTATAACGGTGCCAAAGTTGGCTTTAGAGTTGTCTTAAAAAAATGTATTTTGAGACCTTTATTGTTTTTCGCCCTCAGGTTGTAACAGTGAAAGAGAACACTTTGTCATTCTTCCGGGAGGGGAGGATATTTTTGGCATTTTTACATGACATGCAACTGTAAACATTTACTGCCACTCTCGCTCTGGCTAGGTGAAAGAATCTTAGCGCCAGGTGATTTGTGATCTCCTTCCCCGTTCAGCCAGCCAGCTGAAAATACATTTACTTCAGCCCTTCCCTCAGTCTGGGCCCGTAGTGCAAGAAGATGCTGGTTCTCAATGACACTGCTGACAGTGTCATTGGTTATAGTGGCGAGACTGCGATCCCTCTCATATCCAATTATCTAAGTACTTTGACAGGTGATACTGCATGTCAGCTGAGGGAGGAAAGCGAGGGCAATTGCACGGAGCAGGAGGCCCCTCTGCCCCTGCCACAGCCACTAAAACATTGCTCACTTTGCTTGCAGGATATGCAGCAGTAGATGCTCCGCTCCAGATCTGGCTAATGTTCTGCCAGCTCCTTGGCACAGTGCATGTTATGGTGCATAGATCAGAGCTGACACACTCAAGGAACATTTGTGTGAGGAGACAAATTGCCCTACAAAATGTAACGTATTCAAAACGTGCTCACACAGTGCTGCAGTCGCTGTCTGTCTTTGGAGTACTGTGCTTTTCTTTCTTTAACTGTTCAGCGAGGAAAGATCAATGAGTGTTTTTTGCTATTTGCAATAAGGTACTGAGCAGTCTTATCTGACTACAGGTTTTATGACTGACATTATAATCCTTGTTTTGCAAAACAAAACATACCATACTGAATAGGTAGGATGGGCACTCATCTTTATCCATATTAGGCTTCTTTGTGCTTTTTTGTTAGCTGTACCTAGAAAATTCCCAGGCCTGGTTACTCTGCTCCAGTCTTAAAGTTTAAGACAAATAAGACTGTCAGTAATAACAGTTTTCTCTTTAACATAATAGTCATTCCTCATTTTGCAATTGGAAAGGAGTTATAACTTCCTTTGAGTGTGACCACAGTGACTCATTATATGGTTTGTGTATCATCAAAGCAGCCAACAACAAGCAAAATGCTAGATGGGATTCAGTAAGCTATTTTCACACTATGTGTTGATGCTGGAGATACCATATATTTGAAGTGTAGGTACAAAGGAGCCACTGAGGCTGAGATATAATGTATCAAATCACCAGGGTTTGTGTTTGTTTATCAATCCGTGGCTTCGGTGGTTTGTGACTGTCAGCTAATTAATCATATGGGTTTACTGCAATCAATGCTATAGAGCTGACTCACTCTTTTTAAATCAGAAGCATCTAAATTATTTCTGGAAAATACAGTACTTGTCTTTTTTGATTTTGGTAGCCATAAACAATGGGGTTTTGGCATGCTAACAGCTTGAAGTGCTTTAATTCACCTGTAATAATTGTCAAATCCACATCCAGGGACTGTACTTTGTGTCTTGAGGTGTGTTCAAGGCAGCGAAGAAAAGGACTCAAATGCAGACAACCAGGCAAATGGGAACACTTCAGTTATTTTATTTGTAAAATGATGATACAAAGGCTTTCAGGCAAAGAAAGCAAGTTCAAACAGAGGTAGCTGAGAATTCCCAGGTTAAAGGGGGAGTAGTTTATTGCTTTAACTTATCATTATGAAGTAAATATTAATGGCACAATGTAATGGCTGTAATGACACCTTCAGTGTTCATATTGGTCCCCCATAAACCTCACTTTCACTATGCAATTCTGTCTGCCAAAGGTACAATCCCCCCCCAAAAATGAAGGCTTGATTTACAGCATATATTAAGGAAGCCCATCAACCATTGCGCAGCTAAACCAGGAGGAGAATATGCTTTCGTTTTCCTGGTAGCACATTTATTTCTTTTCCTGGGTTGGCAATGGCATGACCCGCCCTGCTCCGGCTCGGATTTGCAAGTACTTGCGTCCTTCATTGTTTAGATTGATCAGGTTTAGACAAGAGGAGTGAGATTGGTTAGGGTAAGAATGTCAGGGTAAGCCAATCAGAGGCAGAGTAAGGCAGAGTAGGGCAGGTCATGCCCTCACCATGTTAGTAAAAATGTATTTGCTTCCTGGTAGCTATCATCAGGGATGTAGGACTTGGGGGGGAAAAACGGGACTAAGTATACAGGTCCCTGGTGTAAGGAGGACCCACAAAGATACTAGAATGTATGGCTGTGGGTGTGGAGAGGAGCTCATAGAGAATGCCTAGGCTATTGGTAGCTATCCCCAGTGAGTATTGATGTAAGTTCTTTGCAGAAACAACCAAAGTAATTGTAGAAACTGCTTGTGCCTGTTGCATCGCCAGCAATAGCACCACACTCTGGGGTTGAAAAGTTGTCTGTTTCCACTTCAGCAGGAACGTGGCAAGTAGGGCACAGAGTCAGGTGCAGGATGAAAGGCTGGACAGCAAAGGCATAGAGGAGTCAGATGACTGGGACTTATGGGAAAGTCTGAGGTCATCTGATGGGTGGATGGAGGATGGCAGGTCTGGAAAGTAATGCATGAGTCAGGAGGAAGTGAGGAGAGGTTGGAGGCAGGGACAGAGGGGCAACTGAGACAGCTGCTCTGACAACTTGTTTTATAGTCATAGCAGCAGTTTTATTCTAACAGTGATTTTCTGTCAATGAAGAATTGCACATTTTGCTGAAACAATTCCATGTTGATCAGAGGTAACAAATGACTCGTCATGTAGTCATGGTGGCAGATCACACATTTTTGATAATGTTTGTGTTATTGGTGGCTCGGTGCTATCCCAGTGTTGTCTCTCCATTATGTATGTGTGCAGGGGAACACTTATTTACACAGGAATGATGATAACGGCAGTCTCACACATCTCAGCTTCACATTAACGTCTCCGCATCGGTAAGATCCTTCTTCCAGATCACAGGCGTGCATTTGATTTGGCTTGATCAGTAGCAGACTTCTATCATGCTGGCAAGCACAGCATTTCTTCGTTTAAACAGGAAAGTGGAGTCACGCTGAGAGGAAGTTATAGTCCTCGGCCTCGCTAGCATGAATGATGCATTTAGCGTATAAACTGACATGGTTGAGCTCACTTTGATCTGTTGGAAGATTGAGTTGCAGTGATAGGGATGTGAGCCAAGTGGGCTAACATTTGAGGTTTGATTGTTTCAGCTGCAGCAATCTGACTCCCTCGGACTCATTTAAAGAATCCTCCTCCAGGATAGGATTTCTCACAAGCCAGGACACTAAAGCCGCTTCCGGGAGATTTTCTACCAGACTGGTAGTGTTGCTGTGACATTCTGTCAAACCATTGTCTCTGATTATACAAGGACTGGTGTCAGCCAAGCAAAATGCATAGTCAAAGACATTTTCCAAGAGTGGTGATAGTTTCCAGAAAGCACATGGTTATTGCTTATAAAAACAGAATTAGGTCTGATTGTGATGCTTGTGGAAGCCAGGGTGGTACTCTGTGATCTTTTGTGCTTCTTCTGATTATTGCTGTCACAACTATATGTCACAACTTTACAATATGCAGTACTCATGCAAAACTAGCTTTAATGTAAAAGACAGTCAAGATGACTTGTATTGGAACAAAACATTGTTAATGAATGTATTCCAGGAGGCAGTTAAGTTTTCTCCCAAAATTTGCCAATGCAATTAGATATATAAGGAACTTTTAAGAGACAAAATCACACATAGTGGTATACTTTAAAAGTTGTGTTAGCATCGTAGCATGAAAGCATGAAAAAATGACTGTAGATCACTCGTTTGCTGTGCAGTAAACCTGTAACACCAAGCATCCACTTTACCTGTAAATTATTCATTTCATATATATATATATTCTAAATAATCACTGTTCCTGAACATTTTAATATCATCACTATCACTACTGAAGTGCTATACTTTTACAGTATATACTGTACATACTGTCATATCCATCTATCTCATGTACATATTTATTTTAGCACCTTTTGCACTCTGCGAAATACAACTTTATTGTGTTGTTGTTTTTCCTTTATAGAGATAGTCTTTATATGTATATAAATCTGGTAGTAGTGAAATGTTTATGTTTAGCTGTTCAGTTTTATTGTTCTAGTTTTAACTGTATACCTAAGTCTGTGTTTGTACATTGAGGGCAACAAAAACTGGGGTCAGATTCCTTTTATGTGTACACACTTGCTTGGCCATTAACGCTGATTCTGATTTATTATTACGTACTAAAGCATGCAGAGCAGCGCTTTCCTAAAGCATCAGAAAAACAGTGTTCAAACCAGCCTACACTGAGCTCCACCATTTAGCCACAGGTGGCAATCAACACGAGGTCAAGAACTTTAACCCTCTGGGCTGTCAGAGATCAAGTGTGCCACACTGTAGACAGACCTTGTTTTGAAATAAGAGCAGACTTAGTTGGGGGACTTTGTAAAGAAGTGTGTGAACTGCGGGGCTCAAACAGAAAACAGCCCAACAGTGTATTTCGCTGAGTTTCTCAGTTATATTAAATCTGCTTGAATTTATTATGCTCCATAAGTTGCAGTGTAGTGCAAAGGCCCTTGGAGTTACCTTTTACATTTTTCTTTTATGTTCCTTTCTGCCTCTTATTATAATGTGTAATACATTTGGTACAAGCAGTTACTGTACGTGCGGCATGGAAATGTTCGGTGTTGAATTTATTTTATAAATCCTCATTTTTATAAATTGCCCTGCCACTTTTCATATTGATTTGCGGGCTGAAATAGTCCTTTAGCCCTTGGGCAACAAATAACCTTCCCAGCCCTTGGCCTCTCAAAGAGGCATTTTTGGGGAGCTTTAACTCGGTGTATTTATCATTTTAGTCATGTACCGTTTACACCGAAATCTCAAAGAATTCAAGGGACACAATAGAAGAGGGTATGAAGCTCAGAGAGAATAGGAGATGATATATTGGAGTGAAAACTAATTTCCAACCTGTCTGAAGAAACTCTCTCTCTCCCTCCCCCAGGCTGTGCTCTGCCTTCTCAATGACCTTATCATTGTATTATTATTATTTTTGCTGATCTTGATTTATTATGTTTATGCTCTTCCACTTTTGACTGTTAATCTGAGTCTGGAGTTAGGGCCAGGGTTAGAGTATTTTGAAGGGTACAATGTTTTTAAGCAATGTATAAAATTAGAAAGGGAGTGGGGGTTCAGGTTGAGAGATGAGTTACTGAATAAGCTGTAATTCATTTGAGAGTGGGTGTGATGTGAAATATGATATTGTTTTCCTATATATTCCCTGTTTTCTCGGCGTAGTTTGCTTCTGCTGGAACAAATATTCAGCTGTGAACACAGAATTGTTATTTGACTTTACAGAGCAGCTGAGGTCATACACATAAACTTATAACTGCAGTGCACAAGGCCTATCTATAAACATATAACTGTAGCACATGCTATCTCAGTGAGGTAAAAGATTGGCCTCTGAGAGTTTGGATCAATTCCTACATGTTTTCATTATCTGAAAGACAGGGAGGCCAGTATAAAATTCATCAAGCTAAATGGAATCAAGTTTGTCAGGTTTATTTATGTGTATGACTCGGCAGCAGGAGGATATTGAAATGTTTTATTGATCATTGAAGTTGATTGGCTGGTGCATTGTTCAGCCACTGAAAGCTTTAAAAGAGTTTGCATTTAATATTGATAAATGGCACACAACACTGTTATCTTTCATTTTTGTGATGTTTTAATGATATATTTAAAGTGCCACTCCAGCCAGTGTTACCTCCTGTTTTTCATTCAATGGTTTTTCTCAATCAGAGAATGGGGGTTTGGTTGATAATCCTATCGTATGTGTAAAGCGATAGCACGGATATTAGCATGGATAGTGGTAGCAGTCACCTGAGCATACGTTATAAGGGGAAGGATTTTTCTCCACCTCCCTCACTTGAAGGAAATATGATGAATTAATGTGTCCTCATACAATGTATAGTGGATGTTTCAACATACCAAAGTTCATAGGCCACTTAGTCTTCAAGGTTAAACAAGGTTTATTGAGAATACAAAAAAAGAAAACAAAGCAGCAGGCCAAGTTCTTCCAGAATTACACCTTGTATGTTCCACAACAGACTCGATGCCCTATTTTTATATATTTTCACTGTATTACCCATCATTATACACTTTAACACTGCTTAACACAGTCAAAACCTATTATGATCCAAACCAACACAGACCTCATGTTGTCTTTTCACACAATGGTGTCAACAATCCACTTTTTTCTTGCACACTAAACTGCCTTATGGAACCGTACCTGCCGTAAATAACTTATGCCCCTAATCTAACACAGAAATAAAGTAAATAATCGTAGCATAGTCCACCACTATACATTATTAAAAATATACAGAAACTGTTGTGTTAACTTAAATATCATCAGAACCTATATGTCATATCAACATGGACATCTTTAACAAATATAAATATGTGCTTAAGTGCCTGTTACAAAATGTTTCATATGATATCTTATGTAAATGCACCCAATACAGTATGTATGATATGTAATAAATTAGTGTCACACAAATGGCATTACGCACCCAATGTAACATTGCGTAGGTTAGGTTTAGGAAAAGAAACATGGTGATGACATAGCCTTTAATGACTCAGAGTTCACTTGGTTTCACACGGTTTTGAATGCTGGTCTCCTGGGGAAAGTCCCAGGTTTTGTGACCAATCCACCACCCCAACCTGCCTCCTTACAGGGACTACTCCCTTCTTTACTCCCATCAGTGCATTAGTTATGTGATTGCAGTCTTCCCAAATATGTGGGTTATACACAAATAACTGTCTCATTATAACATGGGATATTGTATTGTAGGTATTTGTATGAAAAATGCATGAGAACAGCTTAGGAAGGAATATGAATCTAATGTTAGCTGGAACTCAGTTACTTCTAAATGATGACCGCATAGCTATTTGCCAGTTTCAGTAATATGGGCAACTAGTTTGTTTGCCAGCTTCCTTAACGTCAAAAACAAATTAATGAAATACCCAAATTTTAGATAAATATTTGCAGTGAATTTAGAATTTTGTTTGATAAGTAAGTTAGCCTTACTGTATTGTCTATTTTGTATCACACAGGGCTGCCACTTTGGGGTCTTGTTCATCTTGTTGGCATTTCTTTTGCTTGTACCAGCTGGTGGTTGCTTAGTAACTTTATACATTACGTAGCCTACTATTGATTGTAAATGTTAACTTACCAATATTACACAAACTAAAATTTGAGGTTTCACAGCACTGTGCTGGGTCCAAAAACTGACAAATTTCAAGCAATCCCAAAATAAAACCAAACCATGTTTTGCCTGTGAGTCACACGACCTGTATGTGCACTTCAGATGTAGCCAGTAAAAAGGTACATTCTACGGCACATTTGCTCTGTGAATGGTCTGCGTCTGTTGTTTATTATCTTGTATGTTGGCTACATTTAATACTAGCTGACTAGCTAGCTCACAGTCATGTACATCTGTGTAGCCACTCAGACCCAAAGAGGCATGACAGTGCACCTGCACAAGCTTGGAGGATTATATATGACCTGCAGCTTTCACTATAGTCATATATTATCTTCCCCTTTTCGCAACAACTTTCTCCTTTTTTGAGTTATTCTCAAAAAATATTTGGAGCACAGAGGCAACAGGAAAAGTCATGAAATGACTCAGGAACATATAAAATATCATAAAAATGCCCAAATACACCGGAGTGGGGCTTTAATATTTATGTTCTGTGTGAATCTGACTCTGTTAAATGATGTTTTTTCAGAGTAATATTTCCAAACGGGCTTCCAAGTGAATACTCCCTTGTCACCATCTTCCGGGTAAGAAGAACTACAAAAAAAGATCGCTGGTATCTTTGGCAGATATTCAACCAGACTGGAGAGAGTCAGGTGGGTCCCTCTGTGTGTTTTAATGTCACGTATCAGTTTCGGCGTCTACAAATATGCCAGAACATCATGGGATCATGTTTGTCTCTTTGCTCCTCAGGTATCTGTTGTGGTTGATGGTGGCAAGAAGGTGGTGGAGTTTTCTTCCCAGGGCCTGCAAAAGGAGGCTCTCCGCTATACATTTAAGAGCCGTGACCTACATGTGCTCTTTGATCGCCAGTGGCACAAACTGAGCATTTCTGTACAGAGCAACATAGTCTCCGTTTACATGGACTGCAAGCTAATAGAAAGGAGGCTGACTGATGAGAGGGACAGCATTCACCCCACGGGGCGCACTCTCATCACGACACGAGTGGAGGATGGACGACCTGTAGATGTATGTCCCACGCAATCTTTGTGAAAACATGTTTTGTCTTAAGCTAAATCTACACAGTGTCATTTAAGGATTTAACACTCTTTGATAGCTGTGTTACTCATCTCCATCAGTAGTCTACTATCTTCACAGGATTTTTTGAAATGCACTCCCAGTGCTCTCAAATGGTATTTAAAACATGCCTCAGGGGAGTATTTTCTTAATCTCTGTAAATCCTCTATTGTGTCATATGTGTTATGCTCATTCTCAGAGATGCCCCAAAGTGCTAAAAAAAACATTAGATCAGCTATGCCATTTGGTCACCCAATGCCGCTGAGTAGAACTTGGCTTAAGTAGCATTAACAGCTTTTTAGCCCATGTGATCTGTAAAGATGTCAGACAGTACATCTGAAAACCCCCCCGGCAGAGTTCAAGTTCTGCTGTGGATTAGCTGCTATTAATGCAGAAGTTAAAACGTTTGATTTTAGGTTTAGATGTGATGTTTTTGAATCGAAATGGGAATGGCAATGTTAGGGCAGCTTCATGCTACAACAGCCTACAATTGTGCTGTGTTAACCAGAGAGGAGCAGGACTTTGTCAGCAAAAAGAGGCGCATGATGTGGTGATGAAACTATTGTGTAATGGTGTAAATGGTCCCTTAATGAGAGCTCTTTTCCACAGATTGAACTGAGACAAATTCTGATCTACTGTGACCCTTACATGGCCGAAATGGAGAACTGCTGTGAGCTACTGGAACCAAAGGTAAAATGTTTTTTTTTAACCATAATAATAATACACAGTACACTGTTTTAAGAAGAAGAAGTAGTAAGAATTTGTTACACTTTTGCAATTTATTGTGCATTTTGCAACTAAATAAATACACTATAGGATACAGTTTATGCTTGGCTTCAAAATTCTGCGACAAAAAAACTTGATGTTCTATCGTACCAGTCTGCACTGGCTCATATAAGCTTTGCAGTGTGATAAGGCAGTGAGAATGTAACAGGTTTTTGGTCTCGTCCCAAGATAGAAACTTGATAGCAGAGATCTCAAATCACAAGAGAATCAATAGGAGCTACTGTTGCAGTGATTCCAAATGGAGACATGACCTTTGACCCCTTACCATTACATGTCACCATAAGCATGCTGTCATGTCAGTGTAAAGTTACTTCAAGGGAATTATCACAAACTTGAGAAGGACTCATCACTGTTTGTCTGCTTAGTTATTTCTAAGATTCACTGCACAGTTTGATTTGCAGCATGATGTAAGTATATGCCAGCCAAAACCCAGGTTACCTTAAGTGTGCTGCATTACAGTGGATTTTGGAGTTTTTTGCCATGGAGCAAACACAACAAAGGAAGGTGTCTAAATGGTGAAATTTCTATATTGATCCAGTGTGAAGCCAAGAAGACCTTTAATGGGACTTCCCCTCCCCTGGTTACAGCCCAGCTCCCGCAGATGCTGTCTCAGCCGGCCTCAAAGTCAATTGACAGATGTCACTGTCCAGCTGAAAAGGTACAATCAATTCCACCCAACAAGGGCCTCTAATTGAGTAAGTGTAATGTCTGTTGTTGCTGAACCAGCACTGATTTACACTGCATCTGCCCATCCTTTATAGGCCTAAAAGTGCCTGTTAAAGGACATTTGTACCGAAAAGTGTTTTCTTTGGAAGCCAAAGAAAGGCAGTCGAGCCATAATCTATTAGCAAACGCAGGCATGATTCTCCCAAACTGTTCAAGCAGGGTGAATCTGCACCCTGCTATAAATTTGTTAAAATGCAAAGGGATTCTTTCAACTGCAAATATTAATGTTAGATTAAAATGCAAATGGAGACCTGAAAGCTTCAAGCCGTCTTTGAAAGGGAGCAGATGGTACAGCTCCGAGGTGATGTCCAAAACCACACCCAGCCTTTTATGATTTTTAAATTTTGCCTGTAAGTTACAAACAGAATAAACTTTTCATAGAGAAACAGTCAAATGAACATTTTGGGGATTTAAAGGACACTGCAGCAGTTTGCTACTGTACAGAGGTTGATTTTAAATATTAGAAAAGTCCCTAATGATAAAGATTTTCAAGCAACACTTTGACTATGTAAAAGCCACATTGCTTAATTATTTTTAAGCTTACAGTCAGTTATGTATAAGTTTATAATCTGTAACAATGGCTTACATGTGCACTAATATTCCGCAGCTCTTCCAGATATCATCTGAATTTAATTCAGGTCAAGTAAACAATATATTCTGAATGGGTATTACTAATTAGCCCCTTTTTCCAAGTGTAGCTTTTTCTGATTAAGACATGTGGTATGTGTCAGCATTGTTCATGTTTAAGGAGCAGTCTTTTGACAGCGCATATGGAATATGTGTCTGAAGCTCTGTGCATTGTACATTAACCCCATATAGTCCACAGTGTGCAAGGCTGTGGGATAGAGATGCATGCCTTAAAGCAAAGCCCACATCTCTGGTCAGCAGAAACGCATCTACTTGTAAACATTATGAAAGATTTGGATATGAAATAGTTTTTGGAAATACCCAAATATCGCAACACCAACTTTTTCAAGAAGGTGGTGGGAGGAATGAAAGCTGGAAGCTGTGTTCGCACAGTCTAACAGACCCTTTGCCTGTGGAAAAATAAAAAAAAACAAAACATTTTTTGAATGCCCTGAAGCAAAATGACACAAATGTTGCCATCCATTTTACCTTTCCATATATTGATAATTGTGATAATTGACATTTTGGGGCACGTCAGTGGGAGTATGCAGAGCTGCATGTATATGGGAATATTAGTGGAATATTTATTTTCATTAGCCATGTAAACAGAATGTTGTCTTTTTCGGAATAAGGGCAAAAACTGGAATATTTTGTGCATGTATACATAGTTAATGTGCTTTATGTAATGATGTCTATGCATTACCATCTATCACTATGGCAACAGTAGCTAATAGATTATGAACCTAGAGGTCTTCTTTAAATGTATTGAAGTTATAATTAAAGAGCATGAATGGAGGATTTTTCTTTTTAAAAATCCCCCAAGATTTATTCTATTAATAAACAAAATGTTATTTCCTTCCAATTAGTTACTGGTAGCACTAATTTCTTTCTTTCTTTTCTTTTCTTTAATAGCATCTGAGTCTAGAATAGCAAATAGTCTCCCTTCCTGTGATCTGCTGTTTCTTTTGCCAATGTGAGAGAGGCTTACACAGATTTTGATTCTTTGTGAGGACTTAAGAATCAGAAATCATAATCATAATCAAGTGCCATAAATGTCCAGTAGTTATGTTGATGACATATTTGTGTGTCATAAAGAGAGATCCATTAGCAATAGCCACATTTTCTCTTTGATTAAATTTTTTTTAATTCTGCTAATGTTCACTGTGTGCACAGGGGGATCCTGGTCTTCCAGGTATCATTGGACTGCCAGGACAAAAAGGGGACAAAGGAGAAAAGGTATGTGCTGCATTTTTATGCTGTTGATTTATGCACTTATTGATCTTGGTATAGGAAATTTTCAGGGTGCATGGGTGCAAGGGTTCAACATCAGCGCTTCACTGTAAGTCATACATAATTCAGAAACATTCACTGAATCAAAGAAGAGTGTTATCACTGGGCCACTGTGCCTCGTCCCATGATGTAAATAACCATAGCTTTGTTCTCAAATGATACTCTCAGCTACTGCCGTGGGGTTTCTCTGTGGCCAGCACCACTGGTGGTTTTCCAGGACAGTTGCAAGGTCTGAATGTGAAGAATGACAGCAAGTCCCTGAAGGACAAATTTATAGTTCAACAGAAATTTATTGTCAGAGGAAGAGGAATACATCTCTCTTTCAGCAAGCAAATGTCAATGCTGTAGTGTCTGACAAGGGTTCATGTTCAGCAGTCAAGGTCCTTCAGAGATGCTACCTTACAGTTACCTTCACAAGGTGAATTTCCTCCCAAATCTCCCAAGGTGTGTGAATTGGGAAATCATACTTTTGTCCACTCACGAGAAAAATAGATAGTTCAAAACAAGAAGGATCCTTTCTCCCTGACAGCTCAATAGACAGGTGGAATTGTAAATAGTAAATGCCTAGTCTCTGAAAATTGTGGGTGTTGTGTTGGTTGGAGGGCAAGAAAAAAAACAAAACATAAATGAACCTCCAAATACCCAGACAAAAAGTGTTATTTTTCCCTAGACAAATAACATCACTTGGAGTATGAAATCCCCTTTTAGCTGTCTGTGCAAGGTAAAAAAAGAACCAAGGGAGATACGTTCAGCCATGAATGGAGCTCATTGGGATGAACAGGTGGTGCTACTGTATGCCTGATAAGACCAGATGGCTTCTGGGGTCAGTGTCCTAATTACCATGATGTGGCTGTGGGATTAAGATATGCAGGATGACTTTTGTCTCTGGAAAACCACTTATTCTTGGAAGGCACAAAAGCGACATATATATTAGTGTAAAATCATTATACTTGTAGAGCCATGCACAGGAATTTGGAATTAGGGACATTTTTGTGCTGCCTACATAGTCAGTTGTTCTCACTGTTAAAGTGACATTATGTTTAAAGCTGCTTAGCCAATAAACAGCACCAACCAGGTACTGCTGGTCTGGATACATAAGATTGGCTTGAAAGTTGAGGTTGAGTAGTGTAAAATTAATCTGAAATGATAAAGGTTTCCAGAATATTAAGAAAGTACTCCATGTTTTGCATTTAGCTGCCATGTGTCCAGGCAATTGTTACAATTTCAGTGAAAATGGGGAACACTGAGCATCTGTTATTTTGTTCCTAGAGTTATACACTGAATTACTGTGATGTGGCGCCAACAACAACAACAATCACGTCCACGAGGACAACTGGCAATTGATTTTGAATGCTAATTTCTATATTGAAATTTCTGTTGTGCTTATTTCATGGACTGTGTTGCTTTACTAGCGCCTTTAATGCACCAAATCAACCAGCGCAGAAGTTAAACAATGCACTGCGGTGGATGGGGGCCACAACAAAACATAATTTAGCCACCTAAAAAAGCATTATAAGTTTAAGTGTGCGCTATTTTTTTGAATATTTTCCCTGCTTTACCTTACACACTAACCAACTGAGGCAGTGGTAGACCAGCAACTCTTGTGTTCTGGAAAGTTAAAATACTGTTTTTGCCAATGGAGTCCTTGGAGTGGCCTTGAAATAAGGGCTATGGTTCCCTGCTGGAAAGGGCTGACCTAAACTGATGTTGATTTTTTTAGGTGGCTAAAAACTAACCAGTTGAGGCAGCATTTGCTCAGCACTTTTTTATTTTATGTATACGATGCCGGGTTTTTCTACCTGGAAGTTACTGTTAACAAACATGTTTCAGTCTAAAGAAATATAGATATTTCAACATTTGTGGCTTCAAACCTTTTTGGTTGATAGTTAGTTAGTTGTAGTTATTTAGTTTTTTTTTAATCATTTTATGTGGTTAGGTGACAATTCTGCACTTTTTCACACCAGCTGTGTTTCCTACAATGTACGTAAATGTACAGCCAAATTGAAACAGCAAATATGTTTTGATGGGAAATGAATGCTGAGGAAATAAAGTTTTCTATTGATATAGTGAAAATGTTGCTAATTAATGTACCTGGCAGGTTGCAAAAATGTTGATACTAAATGTATTAGCAAAATGACTAAAAACATATTTCACTGAAAACACATTTCATTTGTTTTTCTTACAATACACTATCCACTTGCAGTGACTCCAGCATTATTTTTTTATTATTACCTTTTCTTATTAACAGTTAACCATGAAGCAGGGACGCTCTGTCCCTCTGTCTGTCCTTCACATATCTCGAGAACCCTTCACTTACTTTATTCTTGCCTGGTGAATTGCTGGGAACCCAGTGGGGACGTGCAGTGTCGACTTTGGCAACACATTTAATATTAATAAACTTAGGATAAACAAGTGAACAGCGCTCTGTGACCCTGTGCAGCAGCAGTAGCGGGGCTTCAGGGCTCTGTGGAGAGTCAAGCATGTCTTGCTAAGTGTATTTTAACCAGTGTCTCTGAGTAGCCACAACTTAGGTATGTTTTTCTTTGTCATACTCTAAAAATGATTCACTGCATTCACACATGCATCTTTTTGAGTAGCATCAACTCTGGCATTGTTGAATCAGTCCTATGAGTCTTTTATAATCTGACAAACTCATGATTTGCTTTGACCTCAAAAAACTTAAGCTAAACCTACTTAATTTTTAAATTTTGACATTAAGTGGTCAAATTATTTTATGTAAGATTGTTGTTAAATGACTAAATATGTTAATGTAACAAACATTTTTTTTTTTTTGAGCTGAAAGCTTTATTTAATTTATGCGATAACACATTAAATAAAGATGCTTTTCAGCATAAACAAATTATGTGTGTTACATTACCGTGTTTTAGTCAGTTGACAACTTATTTTAACAAGTTGGTCAAAATCAAAACATTTTTGAGTAGGATGGAATTAAGATAAATAAGTTACAATATCCTAAAAGAAATCATTTGACCACTAAATGTCACCACGACTTTCGAATAAAATTTAAGTTGGTTTACCTTAATTGCGCTTTACGAGGTCAAAGCAAATCATGTTGGTTTTACTAAATTAATTGAGTTTGTCAGATTATAAAAGACTCATAGGATGAACTTAATAATGACAGAGTTAGAACTATGCATGCAAATTGTTACCCTAACATAACTGCTGGTGTACTCAAAACTTAACCGCACAGTTAAAGTAATGCATTCAAATCTTTACCTTACGTGAGGAGCGAAAGAGAGGCTTTATCAACACAATATACTTACATTTACTTAACGTGCAATGATTAATAATGCATCATATTTTAATTGTTGTATTTTGTGAAAAATCTAAACCTGCAGTGTAACATGTCTCTGTAAGGTAAATGTAGTAGTACAATGTTTTCCTCTGAAGTAGAGATACACAGTAAGGAAATAGTATACTGTTAAGTTGCATATTTTTTCGTTGTCTGGGGGCCGTTGGGCATTATTTTAGGGTACAGTGGCTTAGAGTAGCAGCATAACTCAACACTTTTAATATCTAAACATCATAATAAATCTATTGTTGTTTGGGGCCCAGGTGTATAGCTCAGGACTCAAAGAAGTGAAGTACCAAGTGTGATGTTGAGTGGTTCTTAAAAAAGCTGCAAGTAGCAATACCACAGGCCAGGCAATTGGCCCTTTTCAAATGTTTTGAACAGGCAGTGCCCTAGTTTAACAAAAATCACAATCTTTCCTTTACCTTGAGCAAAGTGCTTTTGTTGCCTAAACCTAACCACAGACAGGAGTCTCGATGTAAATCCAAGATTCTGGTATCACAGTCTTGCAGGTTGTAATGTTCACCATCCACCTCAACAACCTCCCAATGACTCCAGCGCTGTACATATATATGTAGGGTTTAATTAAAGGTTTAATGAACTCAAATGTTGTCTAGGAACATAATCCACACAGCTATTGCATTGTCACCACAATGCAATTATGAAAATAATTTAATCATAGACAAACATAGTTTCTAGGAGACAGGGTTAAAACAGCCGTAGATCATTGTGTATTAAACATGCTGTGTGGGAATCCATTTTCTAGTCAGGAATGTAGAATGGAATATTCAAAACTGTGGGTATAGCAACATATTGTACTAATCAGATTTGTAAATGTGTTATAATTGGCCTGTAATGGCTCTTAATTGACCTAGCAGGGATCAGCTCTCAAGCTGTAATGTGTCCGTGTATGTGCACTTTAAGTGTGTTGGCGGTGCCGGTGATTAATTACTTGCTGCTAAGTGAAATGACTATAGTCAGTGGGCGAGAATGCATCAGCCAGTTTTACATTTCACAAAAGGCAGCATGTATGGCAGGCACTGTGACGTTCTCTTTCATGAATAGTTATATATTCCCCAAGTTAGTTTTGAAGCAGAGCTCCCTGAGTGCACATCTGTTGTGTTACAAAGCTCAAAAATTATTTAAACATGATTTTCAGGAGGCCGTTCCATGTTTTCCTCTATTATATCTGCAGGCCGTGTCTTGTGCCATGACTCAGTGGCTCACACTGTTAACATCTGAAATCTAATTTCGGGTCGTCAACAAATCAATACTTGGCACCATTTGTTTACTTACTGAACAACAAAACTCATGACAAATCCTATTACAGGCTTGAACACTAAATCAATGAAGTTAAGGAAAAACTTGATCAGGGACTACACATGCAAGACTAAGCCCTCCAGTTTGATGGTGGTAAACTGGCACAGTCCGTTTATAACACCCCATTGTTGTTTTTACCAAATGAAAAAAACAAAACAAAACACACAACCATTTTGTGTTATTTGGATGATATTGGATCCACTGTTTTACATTAGATTAATCAAACAAATCCTTGATCTTGCTACGACTGGCAAACATTTGATTTAATATTTTTTTTACACACTCACCACTAATGTAAGCAGATTTCAGATAGAGACTTTAAACGAAGCATCACATGTTGCAGAATCTGACGTTATTTGTTTTTTTGTTTTTTTATATTGTCTGCATAATTTTTTTTTTACTTAAAGGTTCCATATTATGCTCTTTATCAGGTTCATACTTGTATTTTGGATTTCTACTTGAACATATTTTCATGCTTTAATATTCAAAAATCATTTTCTTCCTCTCATGCTGTCTGCCTCAATATACCTGTGTTTACCCTCTGTCTTAAACGCTCCATTTCATCATCTGTCTCTTCAAGCCCCCCTTATGAAAACCCCAGTCTGCTTTAAATAGGCAGTCACTGGGTTTTCCACATCTGCGCTCTTGGCGTCTCTGTACTGTCATTGCAGCTGGGGAAGGACTGCACCGGCACTTTATACCTTTATAGACTGCTTGATTGCTATCATCTTTGGTCCCTGTTTATTTCCTGACAGCTACAAGGAAAATATGAAAGAAGGAAAGGAAATAATGTCAGTGACAGAGTTTGATTTCACACTGGAGCCAGACTTTGGTGCCATTTCTAGGCGTCAGTGGAGCGGACACAACAAATCACATAATGACCCATGATATCTTTGTTGCTTCACGTTTGATTGAAAAATCCTTAAACTCAATTAAAAAACACACATTTTGTGATGCTTAAAGAAGTTTGTGCACATTTGTTTTCCTTGTTATTGGTCTCCAAACAGACCGTGACTCCCTCAGCTGCGTATAGCACATTTTAAGCCTCTGTTTGGTCCAAGATATCTAACCTACCCGCTGTTAGCAGGTAGTATTGTAGGCAACATGTATTTTATTATCAATAACTAACCAACCTTCAACCTGCTAATGATATTTGATAGTATTCAGGAGAGCCAGCTCTTTAATGTTTCCTAATATAATCAGGAGGTGGCGCTAATTGCAAAAAAGTTTTTAAATCTGGACTTAACAGTGCTTTTTTCATTGTTTGTCAGTGAACTAAGTTAGCATTCACACTTTGTATGGATAGCATTAGCCAGCAGACAACGTATATTAATTTGGAGATAAAACTGTCAACATTGGTGAAAAAGTAATACTTGTGGAGGTGTAAAAGAAACAGACAGAGAGCTGCGGTGTTGGTGAGTGACGGCAAATGTTACAGCCTCTCAAGCTTAATCATTGTTATGACTTATGTATGAACTAGCTAATAATATAGGCAAACCTGAGATGACTAACGCTAGTATGAATGTAAATCACTGAGGCAAATTGCAAGGGGTTGTAGCCCACGCTCAAGTCCTAGTTTGGCAGATTTTTACCTAACTCTCAGTCTGGTCAATGTTGACAGGTTGCTCCTGTCCCGTTTGGCCCTGTATCCTGATGTAGCTACCTTGCAGCAAACAGATGTGTGAGTTGAATTAAATGCAGCTGACGAACAGAGCTATGATTTGTTTGGAGACCAATAACAAGGAAAATGAATGCGCACATTTAGATAAAAAATGTCAGTCGACGTCACGTAATGTGTGTTTTTTAATTTGGTGGAAGTATTTTTCAGTCCAAGGTGAAACAACAGAGATATGATGGGTTATGGTGTGACTTGCCCTGCCTGCCCCATTAACTTTAACAGAACTGGCACCAAAGTCTGGCTCCAATTCAAACGCTGTCACTGACGTCATGTCCTTTCCTTCTTTTATAGGCTCCTTGTCAGCCACTGCATTAACAAACTTTCCAACGGGAAATACAAATGGTGTTGTCAAGTTTGAACGGTCTATATAGTGTAGTTGTGACATCATAGCTTTATGGAAGTGCTGACAGCTCATTAAAAGTTTCTGAATACAAACTGGGTTTTACAATATTGAACCTTTAAATGATGAAATGTTAAAGTAAAACATAACAATTACGTAGTCTATTCATGCTGTTTATTTTATTTTAAAGACAGTGTTTATGGTGTAAATATCTGGTTGACTCTTCTGTTCATTTTCTTCTTCTAGTGTAATGAATTGGTGTTGCAGCATGAGAGGTGAAGCCATTCTCAGAGTGGGAAAACACTACATGTAATCTAAGTTTAATCTTGACTTAATAAATCTCAGGCAGGGGGACATTTATTTAAATGATGAGTGAAATCAATACATTTACAGGCACGGCAGCAGATTGCCACTCCAGCAATTAGCGCGCAGACAGTGGTGCTTTGAGATAATTTAATTTAACTGATTTAGAGTTTGAATTAGTCCACACAAGCCACAGTGGCTGTGTTTGATAGACTGAGTTGCAGTAGTTTTGGTCTCCCGCTTTATTTTACCATTAAACAACTAGGAATAAACAGATTTAACATGGTAAGAGGGTCAGATTTATTTGATTCAGTAATGTAAACAGAGCTGCGTACATGATGTCAAAGCTGTATACGCAGTTTGCCATTCAGTGGCATCAGATAAACTTTAAGGAAGAAACTAGAGCAGATACTAGAAGACAACAAAATGTCACTAATCATCGAGTGAAGATGTTTCTCATGTCTTGTGGGATTTGCAAATGTTTATGTGCCGCTGCCACTAAGAGAAAAAGCTGTAAAAACATACTTTATTTTGAGCCATCTGTGCAGTATATCAGAAACATCCTGCTTTGACACAATCACACGTAGTAATTGCCTTTCTCTTATTCTCTCTGACCTTGTTGTGCATTAATCTGTCTGGTAAATTATAGTAGCACTGGACCTCTGTTTCTCTGCATATTTAATTCATATTGATCCCTAAATTTCCAAGGGAGTCCCAGTGACTATAAAACAGTGCTGCACTCTTTGAGATTTACATTATAATACATTAAAAGGGGGTAACAAAGTCATAGCAAATACTGTTAATAAGGTAAACTCGTGAGACTTTCAATTACCAACATGAGGATCTCATTCAGTTTAAGATTAAAAAGTAGTCAGAGTATACTTATTAACAATTTAGCTTGACTTTGTAGAGATTAATCAAAGACATCTGGGCAATTTAGGGCATTTAAAACACCCATAATGAGAACTGCAGGCCAATCATCGTGACCTACACAGAAGGTTTCTTAGGAAAGTGTGTGGGGATTACTCTGGCTGTGTTACTCTGACAGAAAGTACTATCCTGCATTACAGTCAAGAGTTTGATGGAGGATTCTAATGCACTGCAAAGGGATTAAACTGCTATGATTAATCCAGAATCCCTCAGGAAATTAAACAGATAAGGATTGGGTTATAAGAATGCAGCTTACTTGAAAGGAAATCCATTTTCTATGGCCTTGCACATAAACCCTGGTATTACTAGATTTACAGCTCCTGCATGTACATGCAAAGGGAAAAAAACACACACAAGCATAATGGTGAAATTAAAACTTCTCCCCTCCTTTTACAATACCTTTAATTTGTTTTGCACCATTTACAACCCTCTTGTCCTTATGGCTTGTGTTTTCAATTAGTGCCCTCTGATTCAATTTATACCCACTGTACCTCAGAAGTGAATAATTCCAGGAATTTTATTCAAGACACTTCATTATTTCGCTGACACTGAATTTCGATTAGCTGTCAAAACCTTCCATTGTTCCTTTTGTATTCATCAGTGTTAAAATGTTATTACCTTTTCTAAAAAACGGGTTTTGTTTCAGTGGTTGAATAGAACATTTAAATGAAAGAAGACTAAAGTGGAGAGCACTGTGAAATATGTACATTCCCATACAGGAGGCTTATCTGTTCACAGCGAATGACATCAGCAGCTGTGAATCTCTTTGTCTCGTACAAATGAAACAACCATGTAATTGCTGACTCGATGGAAAGCTTTACATCTGTCCACCTGCTTAATATCTTATCAGAGAACTGTACTTTTACACATCAAATGTGAGGTTCTTATAAAAGTAGATTGGGTATGTTTTCTAAACTAAGATGGTATGGTGTTGGCAACTCAGTTACTTGGTTTGACCACATTTTCTTGTTCTTCCTAAGCAAGTCTATTGAGTCCTAACAAACAGGGCTTTTAATAAAGATGCGACCATGGATGGGCATCACGTTTAATTAGATTCTTAGCTTGCAGCAAATTCCGTGCAAGCTTAATTTGTTGAATAACTATCTACTTCCATCTTCTCTCTCTTAACAATAATGTGGACAATCTTTTCCCCTTCCTTTCCTCTCTTATTCTGTCTTGTCCTCTACTGCCCTGTGTATCGTTTTACCTCTAAGACAATCAAGCTTTTGTTCCTTTCTTGCCCTGTCCTGTCTTCTTTTTTTTAAATACAATCATTAAAATAATACAAAGAACTTTAACAAGGTTTAGATATGTGCTTTCCAGTTGTTGGGAAACAGTATCCTGACCTGCAGCTGCTGAGCCACTGTGTCAGCAATAACTTGTGGAACAGCTGTAGGAGCAAGGTCGCTGCTGAAATGACAAGCCGTCATAAAGCTATTCACTAATGTGCGAACGAGAGACCTTTCACTAACTGTTCTGTGTGTTTGTTTCTGTCGCAGGGGGACACAGGGGAGGCTGGGCCTTCGGGAGACCCAGGACATAAGGTAGGCTGCTCACTCATGGAGCAACTTAACTTTACCGTCAGGATTCCCTGGTGTTGCTTTGCCCTTAAAGCTGTGATTAACGTTGTCATTGACTCAGTTGGGAGCTTCAGTTTTTATGTTTTCCTCCTTAATAAATTTCGCTTTACATTCAAATAGATTTTGTGTTTTCACTGCGTGTGTTTTGGAAACAGTAAATAGCAGGTGGCTCTTTGTTTTCAGTGATTTATGGAATCTGTCACTGCCCATCTCTGAGACGATTTTCTAACATCATTGGATTGAATCACTGGCTTGCTTTGTGTTGACCCAGTCACAGCAACACAGAAAACAAAGCAATCTCAAAATCAAATTAAACCAGCAAGTGGGTGCCTGCTTGGCGCTGGGTGAATGGTGCTGCTACAGAGACACAAGTTCGGTCCCAAGCAGCGGCATTTCTGGCTTGGCCAGGCGCCCCATTGGACGACATTGGCAGTATTCCTGGGTGGGAAGCCAGTGAAGGATTGTGTCCTTGTAGCTGTAGTAGCAACTAGACGGTCGGGCTGACTGTGCAGAGGGGGCAGAGCTCAGTGCGTCAACCTTAGTGCTTCAGTTATGCCCTCTCGGTAAAGCTCTGCACCGTCGGAGGAAAAACAAATGACTTGCATAACTTGATGCGTATTTGCGGTAACTGTCCACACCCTCCCCTGGTCAGTAGTGGGGGTCAGGAGTGACAGACATTGCTGTGGAGTCGGACATTTAAATTGGAGGACAAGTGCATATTTTAATGGAAGCTTTAAGACTGTCTAAGTGCTTGTTTTGTCATTGGATGTTGCTGTTGCAGTCCTGAAGAGCTGACAAAATAGCCAGATTTCACATGCTCTCAGTTAAATTAGATTTTATTGCCATCACCAATTTGTTGCTTGCTTAATGTGTTTGATAATATCATCACCAGTAAGATTGTTGACAATCAAACGTGGTGTCTGGGACGCCTATGTTTATCCTGTCAGTGATGGAGGGCAGATCTGGTCACCAGGAAGCACTGCTTTGTGTAATGCCGGTTTGTGGCTCTTGTTGCCATGTCTTAAAGTAGTATTTTCAGGTATTGGCAAGAGAGGGTATGGGATTGTGATTTTATTCTCTGAAAAATGAAGTGAATACATAGCAATAAAAAATTCATATTCACCAGATATTTCATTGCATTCAAGTGATCAATTGTACTGCAGATGGCTGTGGAAGCAGTTTATGCATCAGCAGTAAATAGGCTCATTTCTTCATGTGGACGATGGCTTAATCCTGGACCTATATCCATAGAAGATGTTAAGCTCACCATGGGGGGACGTTTGCAGATGAACCTTGATACATGGGGATATGGAATAACACTTAATGGCACAGCTCTCTCCACTCCACTCTGAGATGAGGTTTAGGAATCAGCCAAAGCTGTTTCGTTACACAACAGTGCACTAGAAAAGTCTACATCAAGAGCACTAGTATTGATATTGCTGCTAATGCACAGTATCATGTGTTGTAGTATTTTATACCCAAGCTCAGCTCCTTGTCAGTGAAGCTTTTTCTTGCTCTTTCATATCTCTTTGTTATGGTGCCCTCGGACAAAACTGAAGACACACACACTTTTTTAGGCTCTTTTGTCAGCCATATTGTGAGAACAACAATTTCATGCAGCTGTTGATATCATAAGAGTAATGACATGGTTGTCCTTGGACGCTGTAATATGGCAGTTTGTTTGAGGTTTATGGGCCAGCTGAGGTCATGAAACTGTATAGGTTACACTCTAATAACAGAGCCAACAAGTTCCAAGACATCTCACGCATTTCTGGCAGAGAGTGTGGAAAGTAGGGGCTGGGTAGCTTAAGAAGAATCAGCGATCGGGAAGATATTTGTGGAAATGAGCCTCTAAGATGTTATATTTGTGGAAATAAGCCTTTAACAGCTTATTCCCCGACATGCATATAATCTTACCCATGCTATAGACTTTGCTGGAGCTGGAGTTGTGCAGTGAGCTCATTTACAAATATTGCTGGGAATTGGGTATCTGGTTGCCAAATGTGTTTTTGTATCAGTGTCACTGTGGTGCAAGAGTATGGTTCCCTGCAAGGCTCAGTTTGAAGGAGCTGTGAGTGAGTTTTAGAGTTAAGGATCCAGTTTTATAGCACCAATGAGGACGGGAGAGAACGTTCTAGATACTCTCACCCCCTTTAGCGCACTTACTTACATAAATAGTTGCATTTATAAGGATTTCTTTTTTTATGTCCTGCCACCATGGCACATGGTAGTGTTTGTGGGACACACTGTTAACCTGGTGGCATCTGTTTGTCTTGTAGACACATTCTTGTAACCACAATAACTCAAGAACAACACATGATAGAAATATCATACCAACACCAAAGAGTCCATCTCTACGCTGGTGTGATCAGACTGTGGAGTCTCTTGGTGCATACATTTGCATGTTAATGAGCATAAATGGTTTTCTTGAAGCTACTATAACTCCTTATTCTTTATATTCAGAGCATTAACATAGCAGCAAAGCACTATTTGCTGTGTAAAGATATCTTGAGGTATTGGCATTCTGAGCAGAGAATTAAGTCACGTTACCTTTGTGTGTGTTGTAATCCAAGCTTGTCTGTGATTTGTTGTGGTATGCTGGTCAGGCCGCACATGCAAATTAGTGCAGGTGTGTATCCCACCAGCTCGCCAACCCTGTCTGCTAGAAAACGTTTCTTTCAGTAAACAAAATGCTACATTCATGTGCCACGAAGGCTTTGCAAGGAGTTGGTCGGGGCAGGTGTACAAAGTGCAGGTAGTCAGCTTATTTTAGCTAAAAAACAACTGAAATACGTGGTCAGTGATTATTTTTCTGATATGTTCAGTGTCAACATTTTAACAACTTGTCAGGTCGGTTAATCAGCAGCATTTCCTAATTTTGATCATAGCAAATGTAATTTGCTCAGCCTTACATTTCCCTCAAAATACCCTCAAATTTTTAGGAGACAGGACTGGGCTAACTCACCGCTGCTTCTCTGCACTACACTCATCTGGCAGATAATATAGGGGCGGTGTCGTGGGAGTGTAGCACCCACCTCCAGTTCACCTCTACTTTAACACCGTTAGCTCTGTCAGGGCCATTGCCGTTGTTAGCACTGTTCTTGCTGTTAGCATTGTTAGCTGCTAGCTGCCACCCAGCCACCTCCATGTTAAGAGCCATGTGCAGACAATCAGCTCCAACTCTGAATCTTTAATGCCCTAGGTGAGTTCATATGAATACAAGAGCTACGTGAGCATTTAATATGTTTATTTGTGGATAAATGTATTGTTTAGATTATGCAAGTAATATCTGCTTTTCGGCTTTTCAGCGTGACCATGTTCCTCCTTTTGGCTTTGAAATTTAAGGAGTGTGTGTTTGATGTTAGTAGTGGTCATGTTATTGGAGAAATGTGCCAGATTATGTAAAACCTACTGGGTGCAAAGTGGGGGAAAAAGAGTGAAGCGTGAACTTTCCAGAGGTCCTTTCTTTGCCTTTTAACTTTCAATCTTGTCATTGCAGGGGGAACTTGGATCAGAAGGGCAAAAGGGAATCGATGGGGAGAAGGTAAGTACTACTATCTCCAGCAGACATATATTCCATACATAGCACATCAGCCAGATCTAGTTTCGTCAGAGAATCAATTCTTATAGGCTTTTCATTTTCTGTGTGATGCCCTGGGGGTAGGAGCAGGCGCAGTTTTCTGTGTGGCTGTTTTCAGATGCCTGTCATATCTGAAGTGGATCTAAGTGTGTTCCAGCCCGCAGTGTCCTTCCGTAGTGAAATTAATTGATATGTATGCTACCATAGGCTTGGCATACTAATGGACTAAACTAATTTTTTAAATTACCGTAGGCCTCTGTCCATGTCATTTCAGGTTAAACTTTATTGCATGCTTTTAAATCTGGCTGCGGTGATGAAACTAATGTGTGTCATGTAAACTACAACAAGAAGTGCAAGTAAATTATTTTTGTCTTAACTAAATGCAGATGCATTAGAAATGAAGCACTATTCCTTTTTGGCTTATAGTGAAGTTGTATTTGCCACAAGCAAATTAGTGCGCATTCCTTTAAAGTATTCGTTAAATCAAAGGGTGTTTTATGTTGTACAGCATTTGTTTGCCCACAAAGGCACACTCTCAGTAGTAGCTGTGCAGATGGTCAGTTTAAAGTGGCTTAATAAAGGGACTACTTTTCAGCACCATCACCCCCTTGAGTAGTCAAACAGCTGCCACAGAAATCAGCCTCCCTGCAGGCTGTGGACGTGCACTCTGCCCTAACAGTAACTGAGAGAAATCAGAAAGAAAAACCAGGGATAAGTATGTCGAGCCAAAAGAGTACTGAACTACTAGAGGTAGAAGATATACAAAAACTATGCACAGGTAGGAAGGTAGCTTGACAAAAATGCATTGAGAGTACAGTTACAAGAGCAGTTAATAGTACTCAGATTGCTGCTTGACAGTAGCTGCAGTTACATGTACAATAATTCTTTAATACAATTTAACTCCTTCTGATTGAAGATTCAAACTAAACTGTCTACATGAGTGATAATTAAGTGATCCAATAAGATGTAAGTTTGCGTGCCCCAAAGCATTTAATCAAAAAATAACTTTACTGACTTGTGCAAAGCGTGTAATCTGCAGGAAATAGAATAAAGGAAGAAGAAAACTTTCTTTTTTCCAATTCAAATGAGAAAATTCAACTCAATCAATACATACATGATTGTATAGAAGGAAAAGTTGTTCCATCTGTCGATACAGTTAAGGAGAACCTGTATGTGTAACCCAGGTTATTTTCTGTAGCTTCAAATTACAGATGTCCCCTAAACACCTCACATCCAGACCATCGGTAGACGTTAAAATTTACTGCTGATAAATTTTACGTCCAGGGACTCCACAATTCAGGCTGTAGCAACATTACATAAGGCTACTGTTTCATAATCAAATAATACATTTAATCAGAGCACTCACATAAGAATGTAGCGCAAGCAGTGTACTAAATAGTTTTTGGATTTATGAATGATGCCCTGTAAAAATCAGCAAAGGGAGGCACACAGAAACAGCTGTTGTGCGAGTAGTGTGTGGCATGTTATGTCACCTATAGGATTAGGCGCTAATGTTTTCCTATTCAAAGGATTATCAAAGGTTTTCACTAACCTTGTCAACCAGATTTAAAATTCCTTGAGGCCAGTCACTTTTGATTGAGGTGGTTACATGAGGCATTTTTATTATCATCGGGCCGTTATTCTGTTTTTTAGGATTGCAAGAAAACAAAGTCTCCATCTTAATTTATTAACAGATAATACACACTCTAGCAGAATTTGAAATACTGAACACTACTGCAGTAAAAAATAATCTTTTTGTTGTGTTAATGATACATCTGCTGAAGAATTGTAGCCTGCTGTTTGTCTATTCCTCAGTCCTTCAAAAAACAATGAAGCTGGTCAGCTAGAAAGGATCAGCTCAGACAAAATATATTCTGTAAGTGTTCCTTCTTGCTTTTCCTCTGTCACCAACACCCATCAGTATGTCCATGAATTACCCAGAGAAGGTTACTGTGGATAAAAGTGAAAGTGCAGTGATTCTTTTGTAAATATACTTAATTGTAGGAGTGCAGGAGTAAATTTACATTAGCTTACATATATCATTCATACTTGTAGCTTGATGAAAGTGAAGTAGGCTATATAACATAGGTACATAAGCATGCATGTATACACAAGACATTTCTGTATGCCAAGAGACATACACAAAGGAAAAAAAGACTCTTCAGACTCTTCCGGGCTGAATCCTTTCATAACGTTTAATTGTAATTCTAGTGCAATAATAAAGTGTAATAGTCCAGTAAATTACAAGTAAATAAAATTCAGTTTCAAGGAAAAAAAAGATTTAAAAAAAGGGACTGGCAGGTTATAAACTCAAGCATTAGTTTGTTTTCCCACAACCAGCTTGGCTCGCTTTGCTCCAAGGTAAGCAGCTATTGGCAGCTTGAAAAGCCCGTTGACGTCATGTGTGTATTTGCATATCAATGACATGATCAAGTTTATTTACATAGAAATTTCAGGAAGAGCGAGACCACCTAACTGGAAATTAACTCCATCTGCATCAAAGACTGACTGATTTGTAGTCATAATATTACACCAACTATAATGGAAGAATGTGAGCGTACATGATTCCTCTGATGTTTTGTTTTCCCATTGATTGCTACTGGTGCTGCAGCAATCAAGAGGAAAGAGTGACAAAGCCTGTGAGCAGCCCTTCTTTGTTTGCTCGCTGGTTCACCCTGGGCTCCAGTTGACTGGACAACAGCGGTACATAATCTGGAAAAACAGCTGGAAGCTTGTTCACTGTGGAGAGGCTGAGAGTGTGTTGATGACCCTTTTCCAAGAAAAGCAGCTGCTCAAAACTTCGTCTAGATGTTACCAGTTGATGTCATTTGCTAATTTGCATGTTAGTGCAGCCCTGTGTGGGGAGGCAGGGATCTATCACGTGTATGATGAGTCTCTAGATTTGTTGTTTTTTAGAACGTCAACAGGGGGTGTCTGAAAAGTGTAGTGTGTTGCTAAGTTGGCAGCACTGGACCGAGGGTCTGTCGACAGGCCGTCCTGCTCCCCTCTGCTCTGTGTGTGTGTGTGTGTGGCATCCTCATTAGTGCTGCTCACTCTGAAACTTTGTCACCAGAAGTGAGATTCTTATGTCAGTATTCAGTCAGTGATTAGAAATATGGGAAGTGACAAGTCTTGTTTTTAGCAGGAGAGGTGACTTGTTTTTCATCTTTGTGCATCTGATATGGGCATTTGGGCTTTCTATGGTCACGCTCACATGGCTCACCATGCGTACCTTCCTGGGATTTATAGTAGTACTGTGCCTCACTTACTTGAGTGATCTAAAACAAAGAAAAGCTCCATGTTTTTGTGGCATTGCTTCTAGCAGGCAGGTTTGTCCAACATTGCAGACAGCCATTATGGATAACAGTCTTAGCCTAGCTTAGCACAAAGACAGCCAGTCTTGCTAAATCAGGCTTCTTCAGTTCTTAAGGTCTGAAGTTCTGAAGAAGCCTCTTGGATGAGAGGTGAAATATCTTCAATAAGCTCAAGAAGTCTTGTCGCCTACGATACAGCACTTAAGATTACCATGACCTGGATGACTGAGAATCTTCTCCAACAGGTGGAAAAGATGTGCTTCAAATCAGCTGTATCTTGTCTGCTGGCAAAGCAGTTACCATCACATCTCAGAGTCACCTGGGCTTTGTATTTGAGCTAAGTTAGGTTAAGCATGTCTTGGACCTGCCTTTGTACTGGAAGCACAGACACTGACAACTGTCTTTTCATCTGATGCTGAATAAGACGTTTTTTCAAAGAGTGGCTGTTTCCTGAAGCTTATAGAAAACATACTGTATCCAGTTCGAAATATAGCAAAGTACAGTCCTATATTAAAGACATTTTGAAGACAAATTACTTCACAAATTATGCGCTAAAAGATCTTATAGCTCCATTATCTGCATAAACTGATGTTTTGGCCACTTGAAGGCAGCGGGAACAAGCTGCACAACATACAATAATATAGACCCGTTTACTATTAGTAAAACAGATGTTTTTTGGTGGGCGGGGCTTAGCTGAAGGCAAAACAATTCTCCACAGACATTAGCTAGCACTTGTCTTGTTTTAGACAATGGAGGAAAATGTGGGGTGGTGCTTTCAGAAATACTCATTCCAAATGCGGGCACACACTCTGGCACGAACTGAATCGTTCGTAAATTTGGAGTGCTGTTGGAATGTACCGTTTGATTATCCAGAGCACACTTGAGGCACTCTGTCTGGGGAGATGGTGTGGCAGAGCACCAAGCGGAGTGAATGTGTTATTAAGTTAACTGTCCGTTAAAGCTCTGTTTCTAGGACCATCAGGGCTCTCATTTTAGTGTAGAGAAATCCAATATTCACCTCAATACTTCCCCAATTTCTGATTAGGTGGACATGATAACCCTTCATACACATAACGTTATTCATCCCTACAACAGTAAATACTTTTTCCATAACCTGATACGAAGTGTGCGATGCACATGTGAACATTTTTGATGATCGCAGCCCAGTCCTTTCATCTTATCACATTTAACCATAGTTGTCTTAGTATTTGTTGACGGTCTGTGGTAGCTGGTATGCGATACAATTAAGCTTTAAGCCATGACTGCTTCTATTCTGGCTCTCAATAACACAACAAGATGATATTTTAAGACTCCTGTGTAGCCTACAGCCCTGTGGTGGCGAGTCGTGTTTTGCCTCCAGCTAATAAAATGGCATCATTGTGACGTCGGTTCTAAAAATGTCTATTACGCTGATATGCCAAACTTGATTATAAACAGTTGCCTACTTACACATCCAGCAGTTAGTGAGCAGCATTAGCATTCATACTTTTGGGCTCCATTAACTGTTGAGGTAACTGTATGCCTCTTAAGCAGCTAGAACTCACCATTTAATTGGTAAATTGCCAGTTGGTGCTGGCCAAGTAGTGTAGGTTTTTAAAGCTGTCTTGTAGAAATGATGCTGATGAGAATGTCGACAGGGAAACACAACAGTACAGTTGTGGTCCATAAAACCAAAACACAGAGCTGATAGACTGACATTCTCAGTAGGGCTGAGGTTAACTACAAAATAAAGTAAAATTCTTCGTGGTTTGTCACCATGACCGACTCCTTTTTCATACAAGTAGCCATGTGATCCATTGTTAATATAGAAATATTGATGATCGTAGCTGCTTAAAAAAGAAGAGATGATTTATCACAATTGGTACAAATCATTACATTTTCCTTGTATGCACCCTTCTGTATAATTCTGTGTAAAAACCAAGAAAATCTAAGATTTAACACAGTCTCCCTACCCATGAAATTACAGCATAAATCAAGCTGTGATGGGATGTTCATTATTAGTCTCTTCCACAGCTGTGCTGTTTTCTGTGATTTATCTGATTTCTTGACCTAACCCTTATATTTGATTTAGATTAATATGAAGGCAGGACACTGGAATAAAAGATATGAGGTAACCTCGGCCCATGTCTCATCAGTGAGCATAGAGCAGTACAGGATTAATGGGTTAAAACCAGTATCCCCAGTGCCTCTGTATCCCCAGTGCCTCTGTAGGTGAGTAGATGAGGTTGAGCCTCATCGACTAAATAAGGCAGCCCTTTCTTAACCAGTTAATCACTGGCAGTAATTAGTTAAAGTCCAAAAGACATTATTAGCAGGACTGCTAGACCGCACATGTTCCAGTCAGTAATGCAGATATCACTCAGAGCCTTTGGCTATTGTATGGTTCATTTAAGTCTGTAAAACTGTGAGAGCTTATAAGAGATTATTTTTAACATTATAAAGGTGGATAATGTGCTCATTAAATATATAATTAATATGTGATAAAATGAAAGTGCTACATATAATTGTATCTGTCATCAGGTGTTGCTTGACTGGTTTGATTTCATTTCTTTTAATGAGAAAAAGCTCAGCTGGTAAATTGAATACTGCTGCTTTTACTGCTCCTATAATTTAACTTTAACTTCGGTAAATTGTGGTTGTAAGGCTACTTGTATTTATTTAAAGGGAGAAAGAACAGCAGAAGAGACTTACTCTCTTTAATGGTAAAGCAAATTAAAAACATTTATGTTGCGCAAACACACTTACTCTATGTTTTTAGTTAACCTATTTACTATGACACTCTATTACCCAATCCATCCCTTTACTGTGATTAGCTCATTTTCCATTTTTAAAGCTAGTATGTTATTTAAGGCTCGAGTAGACACCTGAGACGCTAGAATTCTATGTATGAGCATGTGATCGAGTATCATTTTACAGATACACGTCCTGAGGGACAGAGGGAGTGCACACCGTGTTATCTTGAGGGTAATCCAAGTTACATTCGTGGATACATGTTAAGTTGAAGAGTGAAGTGTCGTACAAAAGTCAAGCAATGCTCAAGGCACATGATATCCTCTTCACTACAGGATCTCTGACAATGAACTCTGATATCCTCACACAATAGCATGTTATTTAGGTTACCTTGGTAATCTGTGTTTAATCACAGAGCGAAACAAACATGCTGATAAGCTACTGTATCTTCTCTCGCACTCTGTGTGATTAGTCTTATATCCACGCACTGTATGTGGTGGTGTATCGCTGAGCAAATGGAAAGTCACAAAAGGCATTTCCTGCTGTAACCTCCCTGGCATTTGTAGGCCGGCACTCAAGATATCTATGTTACTTAGAGATCCTGTTCCACAGAGCTTTAACGGCCTGTCATTCAGTATTACAACATTTCCCCACCAGAATGTTCTGAATACATAGTCCATCTACAGTTTTTTTATTTAGCCTCTCCCCAATAGGCCAAACCCAGTTTGTGATGATTAAATTGTGTACACTAACTAAAACTTGCAATTATTCTACCTCTTGTCAGACAAGGGCACTGACCTGCAGCTGCTCCGGTTGGTTAAAGGTAGAAGTAAACATAATTAGACTGCATTTGTACATCCCTGCCTCTTGCTTGCTTTAGTTGTCCTGTGCTGGGGAGTTGCCAGATTGTCTTGTGGCCCCACCGCTACAGGAGTGACGAGACACAGTGGTGTGTGTAATTAGCAGGCGAGTGTACACAGCTCCCCACAGTGTCCCGACCTCGAGCTGCAGGAACGACAGCCACACAGCCAGCACCGGCCTATTCCCAGCCCCTTCATCCCTGCTTCATCCCTCCCTGTAAATGCAACAAAGCCCACAGCTTGCAACAAAAGCTAACAATATATCCAGCCCTTCTAGTCTACATGTCCCTTCATGTCACGGGGCACCTGTATTGGGCCTATGGGCTCACGGCTGAGTCCATTAGACAGAGGGCAGCATCATAACTAGGCTACGGTATGAGAGGGTGGGATAATAAAAACAGAGAAAATACACTTGTTCCCTTGAGGAGTCATTAGATGTTCCCTGCTTCTGAGATGGGACCTTCTTGACAAATATTAAAATATATCATAATTGAATAATTTAGTGTTGGTCAGCTGAGACTGTTTAAAATAGTTTAAACAAGCACCTCAGTTATTGCTTTGACTGCTGCATCCAGCAATTTGGCTTTAAAGGAATCTTTTCTTTTTGCCTTTACACCTTATTTCACTTAAACAACATTAGCACAGTTTTAAAAGTCTCTGTAGGTGGATGCTTGGAGGAGGGAAAGGAACAGGATGTGTGTGTTCTGGCACATTTTTTGACAAGTATTTAACACTTGACAGCACAACTTTGTACAATATTTGCAGCAGTGACAACACGTTTTAGCAAGAAAATAGTAGATTTTAGTCCAGAGCTTTGGAACAAGCCTCGTCACGTATCAGTTTTATTAAACAACCAAATGATTCCAAGCTAATTAACTCATTTTGTTATTAAAACAACTGTGAATCATTCCTTAAAAATGTTTGCAAAATTAAATGAAGCCTAATTTCTTACAAGAAATTGTTTGTGCCCAAATACTAAATACCAAAACATAAAGTTAACATATTCAAAGCACCAACTCTGAATCCATTCAGAAAACATGATGCACACCAATGGCTATAGAAAAAAGTACACAGACAATTAGTTAACTAAAACTTGTGTATGTTCATTTTGTGTGTCCCTTAGCAATATTTAATGCAAAATTTGCAAGACTGCCAAAAAAAACCTCAGCCAAAAACGCTGAGGGTTAACTTCTAACTGCGCTGTTGTTATTATGTATATGACCACAGACAAGTCCAGATGCTGTGCACTTCCTCAGCTCCTATCGTTGACAATACTGCAGCCATGGAAAAATCTGAATAATCGCACAGTCGAGCCAAGTTTTTAATAAAAACACTTTTTTTTTTTTTTATCATTTCCAATGCATCTTTTATCACATTAAATTAACCACACACACACATGGGAAAGTGAACATCACTCAGCATAAGTCATAAGAGTGCACTGTTAACATTTGGCAAACTTGATAATTTTCAAATCTTTCATGTAAACTGCTTTGTTGTCTGTTGTAATTAAAATGTTAACCAGCAGAAACTTTTTGTGGCGAACAGATTAGCCACAGCAGTTGCAAAGCTTATAGCTTGACTGTAAAACAGGAGTATATCATTCACTGTATGTTGAGAGATTGTGACTTTTTGACTGACTGAGCTTCTGACTGACCTGAATTTGGTTTCAGATAAGGACATGTGCCAGCGGGGAAAAATAACTCACCACCTGGCAGAAGTTGATTCCAGTTGCATTATTCAGTTTGAATTATGGTAGTTTCCTGTCAACTCTTGTGTAAACATATTGTCTTGTGTCTGCAGTCTGCAGGAGAAGATGCTGGGGAGTGTGGGTTCATTTTGGAGCAGAAAAACATATTCATAAATACAATATGGATATATTCTGGTGATTTATAACGTAACCCTACATGAGAAGAGTATTATTTAGTCAACCTAAATGTGACAGTCCAAGGCAAAACATGTTTTAGGATGTACAAACTGGATGTAATAGCTCAAATGTAAGATAAAACCCACTAATTTAAAGGTCCAGTGTGTTGGGATTTAGGGAGATATATAGGGAGAAATTGAATATAATACATTAAGTATGTTTATAAGTGTATATAATCGCCTAAAAATAAGAGTCCTGTTTTCGTTACCTTAGAATGAGACATATATATCTACATAGGGAGCCGGTCCTCGTACACAGAGACCACCATGTTTCACCATGTTGCACAATGTTGCATCGGCCCCCGTAGTAAGCAGCCCCTCCGCCAAAAGCTGAACAGCATAGGAGCAGCATCTTTGCAGACATGGGGTGTAGCGTCCTGTTCACTTCCGTACCAAAGAGGTACCGAACTGGCGAGATGTCAGATGGAATCCTCAAGACCTTAACAGTCAGATCATGGACCTCTTTCCAAAAATATTTCAGTTTTTCTGCATTGAGGAAGTGTTTCACCAGTTTAAATCATGTGGTCCATTTGATTTATAGAGGAAGATACCTCTAGGAATAGTTTGGCTCCCAACAAAAACCTCCTGACCAATGAGGTCCCCAGGGCTTTCCTGGATTTCGAACTTGGCACATGGAGAAGTTTCAGCTGGTTGCAATCTGCAGTCCTTACCCGATACCAATAAATCCTATGCACACTGCTCCTTTAAGCGTATATTTTTTTTAATTCCCTGTGTTTTTTGCATTTGACTTATGCACAGGTCATGCATATATATTAAAATTATAAAATTCCCTGTCTCTGGACTGAGTCAAGCTCCACTTCAGGTCATGATGCTGAAGTATTTCATTCCACATAGCTAAAGTGAATAATATGTAGTTGTGTGCTTCAAGAAATGTGTTTAAAATTGCTCTCTCACAAACACAAAGAATGTGAATGGGAATGAACGCCAGCCTCGTGGTCCCTCTCTGGAAATAACAAGAGGAAACCACATAATGATTGTTAAGGATCACGATAACAAGAAAATATGTTTATATTACAAGGCGCTTTTCACCACAACAATGAGACAAGATCTCCTTGTTACAAAAATGATGGCAAAATTCTTATGAGATTATTCAAACGCACTCCTGTAATCGACGGAACCTGAAGTTGTTTACGTCCTTGTTATCAGATGAGCTTCGCACTCTTCTGCCACGGCTCTGGTAATAACTCAGAGGGGAATTCGCTGCTGGATCCCCTTGTGTCAGATTGCCCCAGTAAAGTGGTTAGGCTGTCGATTTAAATAAAGAATTGGGCTCTCATGTACTGCTATGAGACAGCTGCCCTCTTATTGACAGTGTGCGTAGGCTGAGGGCCCGCATAAAGTGATACAATCTGATAAAATCGTGTCACAGTCGTGTCATCCTAAGTGCAACTTATAGGCAAGCTGTTTTAGCTGTTTATACCACAGGGGCAATTATTTTACACCAGTATTATGCTTCTGTTTTCTGAATGGTAGTGTTTAATACGAGGCTTGCAGGGAATAGGCAATGAATTTGTCACGTCTCTGGTGGAGCCAGACTTAATGTGATAAAGGTAGGTAATCATCTTCTGCAGATATATAATTCACTATTAATAGCCTTTCCAACTCTAAATTTAACCATGACAAATTATTGTATTTCTGAATCATTTTACAGACCGCTCACACTCCCCATCTTTCCTCTGCTCCCCCCCCCTCTCTTAACCCATTTCAAAAAGTTGCTGCTACTGGCCCAAATGTGTCACACCTAACAAGGCTTGCTGCAAATTTAGCCTGTCAATATGTGTCAAGCCTCATTCATCAGCTATCACTCTTTATCTCAGCTATCCCACCCTCTTTCGCATTTCACCAGCAGAGAGGCTTGACTTTGCCCCGAGCTTGCGTAGTTTAATTCCACCTCCAGGTCGTCTGCTTCAAGGTGTAAAAGCAATGACAATCACAGTCCTTGCTAAACCTTAGTGCTACGCGGGGAAAACAGAGACGAAGGTTGAGGGCAGACACTGTGTAACCAGCTGATTGTGAATCTCTCAGCAGCGTCTAATGATTGACATGCTCTTTTCTCATTGACCGGCTGTGACAGGCATGAGAATCTCACACCTGCATGAGATACTTGTCTACTGAGTGTCAACATACTGACATACAGTAACACATGTCAGGCTTTTTTTTTTAACCATCTTTTAATCTCTCACTAAAAACAAGTATACTTAAATATATTGTATATTTTTTGTCCCCAGGGTCTGAAAGGTGACCTAGGGCCAGTTGGTCCAGTTGGTCCCAAAGGAAACAAAGTGAGTGCCATACAGACCGGCCCCTGACAAAATTACACCATAATTGTTTTTCTTCTTTAAATGTAAATAGATACTTCAGGGAATCTGCTTGACTTTCATGAGCTGTAATCCCAGTCTCAATAACGGGTTTGCCCATCTGTTTGAAGTGCTGCTATGATTGCTACTCCAAAACATGGCCAGCTAAAGAATACTGTTATTGCTATCATAACTTAGCAAGACCTTATTGATGGTCATATAGAGTAGCTTTTATCCCGGCTGAGAGAGAATGTTCCCTTCACTATGTTGCAGAGTATTTGTATATTCATAGGAAAAGCTGTTTGTAATGGACATACCCAACAAAATCCCTTTATCTCGCCCTCTCTAAACAGCTTTTTATGGGCCTAAAGCCTACAGCAAAATGTGGATTGCACACCATTGCATACTCACAGGGGCTCTTGATTCAGAATATGTTTGACATTTGATCCCAAATATTAGAAATCCAACAGTGACACAGGTATGTCCTGTTCAGTAGGCTACAGCTGGTTTCGTAAGGGATTCAAGACAGGCTGGAAGTGCAGCAGAGGGGCTTGATGCAAAACCTTGTTCTTATCTGCAGCCCCTTTATAGTCTGTTCACTGACATCACTGACATGAATGAGATAAACTCTTGTTGCAATGCAGAAAATATTGGTCTTTTTAAAGTTTTCTTTTCTTTTCATCCCACAGTGGGATTATTTTCCATGTATGAGATGAAATGTTTTTCCTGTAATTAGTTGCCATATCTCCCACTCTTTTATTTTTCCTCCCTTATTGGGGCTTTTTTTTTTCCTCCCCTCTCTCGCTGTTGTTGTCTTTTGGAAGAACTCACCACATAATTGTAGGTGCAATGCTCTGTCTGCCAGCCTTGAAGTTATAATGAGGTCTGTGTGTTTCTGTGAAGACAACAGAGAATCACAGCGTATTTTATCCTATTTTCCGGATGGGAGGGTGGGGGTTGGGGGTGGAGAGAACGTTTGTTTGTATTGAAACTGACAGAGGGAGGCAGATTTGGAAGCATAAAGTAATGAGTCCCTTGCATATCCCATAGCAGGCATATTTTAGCTGTGACATTCATTTAGACAACAAAATGGATATGAACTACAAACACCTTTTTTTTTTCTCCCTCTCCTTCATCCTCATCTGATAAACGGGTATTGCCAGATGTAAAGTCCACTGATCCTCAACCCAGTGCTTTATAAACTACTGCTGGGATTGTCGTGAAAAAGGGGAGAGAAGTGCAGAAATATTGGACAGTGATACATGACTTTTTTCTGAAAAGACAAAAAAACAAGCGAGGCCGTAAAAAGCATGTGAGATCATTGCTTACACTGGGTGATGCTGGCGTCTAAAGACATCTACTTCTTCCCTTATATGACTTTTCGTGACAGCCTGTATGTCACAGCCACCAAACAATGTTATCATACCTGTCCATTGTTAATACTGCGAGGCTTTTACATGATATAGTACGGCTGTGTTTATTTTAAGGCCTGTCACATTTAATAGCACCAGCCCACCTGCCAGTTGTCTGACAGTTTGAAAGTCATCAGACAGGCTTCATTTCAAGACATACTGTAAATACCACTTAATGGCCTTCTATAGCACACAGTGCATATATTGAGATATTACTGCTATGCAGAGTAAAAACCTGACCTTCAGTTTTTATCACAAACATGATGGCTGGCCTTTAGGCTAGATGTTTAAAAGTCAAAAATATATTGTATGGGTTTTGCCTCAGACATTTCCATCGCACACAGAATGTTAAAGATGTTACTGAGTGAAGTTTGGGGAGTATCTGCTAATTATTATCCTCCTTCACAGGGTGATGTGGGTGTGCCTGGAGCTCCAGGGCTGCCTGTAAGTTCACACTGTTACATTTACATCTCATTATACTATCTGTATATCTGTGTATGTACCATAGATATAGATGAGAGTATAATGGACATTCCCATTCAGATTAGCATAGCAGGATGATCAGAGCGGCAGGCACTTTTATATGTATTGTTGTGATCGCAGCTGTCGTAGTGGGCTTACTTCCATATAAACTTCTGTATAGTGAGTTTGCAACTTGGGTCAAGTTGGAAACTTACTGAGGTGAGGTTTTGCAGTAATGTTATTAACGTAATATGAATGTAACTTTAATTTCCCAGTTTAATGTTGCCATTTATTGCGCGTTTGTTAAAATATGACTTAACGTTACTGTAGCTGCCCCTGAAAAACAAGTGAGAGCTGCTGCTCAGTGGATAGCTGTAGATCAACTCATGTTAAGATCTAACTTAGTGAACTGAGGGCTTTTTTTGACCAGAGCAGAGTTGGTGAGTGCTGGAGCAGTGAACTTGATGACTTTGAGTTTTATTTTTCTTTCTGTCAAGTTTGAATGAAGTGTGCATTGAGTGAGTTACCAAGGCAATTAAGCTATTAGTCTTAAGCCCAGTGTCCACCAAACGCTTGCGGTATGATACCTTGGGAACCAAAAGTAACCCCTCAGACATGCTACCTAGACCCTTGGTCCGTTTAGCGTTTCCATCGCAAACAGTACCCTTAAATGTGGACGAGGTTGTTGTCACTTACAATATTTCTTCCTTTGTCACTCTGCAACTTGTTTATCGTCCACAGAACGAAGTTGCACGCTGACCTTTTCAGAACAAAATAGAACAGGCTGGAGTGAGAGTCTCTCTCCATGGGATATTTAAAAATGTAGTCCTTCTCAGGCAAGCTCAGGGGTTTAATGTTGCCTAAGTCCACAGGAACGACATTCTGCAGGGCTTTTTTTTTCTCCGAGTGAGGATCTGGTAGTATTTAATATATATAGATTTAAATGCTAGAAGATTCACTCATTACTAAAAGTGTATGTCAACCAAAAGAGACAATTAAAATTAATGTAATGGTCAAAGTTGTTTCATTGAAATTTAAGCTGCATTGATATATTCACATTGTCAACTCATGCATTGAGTAACATAACAAGTTAACGGTCCGCCTTAAAAGTTGCCAGCAGTTGGCCCTGAATTAAGTTATTTTTTTCTCAGACTACAGCTGCTGCCAGAGGCAGCAAGACATCTCTTCATTTTCCAGTTACAGTAATAAAACTCTCCACTGTATGAACAAACGAGCCACAACTCAGCCCTGAGCAAGAGTGATCATCCGCTACTGACCAATCAATGGACTGCAGTGTTCACAGCTCCACCTTTTAGTACCAGATCTGTGTGCTAGGTACCCCAACAGAAGGAGTATCAAAAACGGGGATGGTTAGGAACAGTTCCTTTGGTACCATCCGCAACTTTTTAAAGTGGGATTAGAAAAGCTGCGCACTGAACTGAATTGTACCGTACTGTACTGTATTGCTCGTGGAAATGGGGCTTTAGTGCAGTGAAAGACACTTGGATTAGTGTATGGTTGTATTTCTTTATTAGTAAGGAAAATAGGTGGAAGAATGGGTCAAACTAGTCAGTGTAATACACTTGAAGGCCTCAGTGACGTGTATTGTCGCTATAACAACTTACAACAATCACCTTTTTCTTTTGTGCTACTAAATTACCACTACCTACAGTTCCATGTCCTTTCTATTCATTCTGTTTCTATGGTGAGGACATTCAGAGGAAGTAGAAATGTTGAAACGTACTCATGTGGGTGTGACATGAAATGGCTGGACTGAGCTTTGTAAATATCACAGCCTTTGGGCTGACCAGGCGCTATGCGTGCAATGTTACTGTAAAACATCTGGCCCACAGAGATGGAAAGTGAGGCACTCAGGTGAGCAGTCTCTGTGTCACATTACCATCGCCTGGGAACGGGTCAAACAAGGAGCAGATAGACAGGGCTCAGTGGGCATCCTCACATTGGCCAGAAAGGATAGGGATGAGCAGCCAGGCAGAGAAGAATAGAGCTCCCAGCCTCGGGGTGGGGGTGGAGGTTGACAGGTAGTCGCTGGGTGTATCCTACATGGGTGAGACATGCACTTATTGGGTCAGTGGCTGTCCCGGCAGACTCGCATTTACAGACATCCTGGAAGAACTACACCACGCTTTATGTATTTCAGTCTTTATAATTGGACTGGCTGTAGTAGTGCCTTCTCTGTGGTCTTGGAAAATCGAGAGAACGGAGAACATAACCCAGAAATATTGCTCATTCCACTGCACACACAAATTGAAGGTACATATGTCAGCCAGCAGCAGATATATGTACAAGTAGATGCTTGCATAGTCACCTATCAACACATATAGTGAATGCGTGGGCCACAGATGCAAACACACAATGCATTGTAGCCAGGGAGTTGACGACTACTGAAGATTAAAGGTATACTGCGGGTGGTTAGCTAATTATGTGCACATCATGAGGGGATCAGGCTGCCACTTTTAATCAGCACTGGAGTGACACAAAAACTGTGTCCCACTGCTTCTGGCTTGCCCCTTTTATGTCACCAAAGTGCTTAGGATACCCACACAACACTGCCACCATCCATTAGCTTTTCTCCAATGCTAATTTTACATTTATAAGGACAAGCGGAATAACAATCTTTCCCTGACAAGCAAACATGGTTTTAGTAAATTTTCTCACATCATACCAGTAAATTGGTTGTTGAGTGCGAGCAGAAAATGTTAGGTGGAAGTTATTAAAGTAGTGTAGACGTGCTGCTGAGTGGATCTGCATTGTATTGCTTGTTACCCAAGGTCAAAACTTGTGCTCACAACCCAACAAAAGATGTACCATTGTACATGAATAATTGATTTATTATCAAAAGCACTGCACAGACTGAGGCATGTTTTATTTAGGGTGTCACAGGTCAGGGCTGTCACTCTTTTTTTTATAGATACAGCTGTAAATATCTCTTGGCTGTCTGCCTCCTTGTTAAAATATAGATTTTTTTTCCTCTGTTGTTTGTTCTTTGCACGAGGCCTCTGACTACCGTGAAAGACATATGTAACGACTGTCACATTTCTGCAGCTGTTTCCAAGAAAAGTCAACAACGTTTGACTTTTGGATGCCAATTGAAAGAGGACACCAATTATTCGGCTTGTATTTGAAAGCTGAGATGTTGTATGTGGCCTTGTGTCCATTCTGTGGCCCGGTGGATAGACGACTCTGTCTGCCCTTTCCTGACAGTGGCCAGCAGGGTGACTGGGGAGTTGTAATAGCCATGCCCCAACTTCTCTTCGGGTCATCGCAGCCAAAGATAATTACCTCCTGACCAACTGTGTCGCTTGCCTATAACCGGCAAACATGTATTGTTATATGAATCATGAGTGGTGTTTTCACGCTGACTTACATGTTGCTGATTGTTTTTTGTTTATTTTTATTTCCAGGCTGTTAAAGAATGTGTCAAAGGAGATCAGGTACTTTGAGTTAATGTTCTTTACACTGACAATATATTAACATTCTATATTAATTAATTTGTGCTTTTGTTTTCTTGTAAACAAAACTTTCTTTCCCACTCTCAGGGCCTTCCGGGTGACAAAGGAGAGAAGGTAACGAGTGAATAAACTATTTTAAGCACAGAATCTCATAGTCATCTGTTTTTCACATTAGGCAAAGTGCACATCACATGTACCCAAGCAATCAAGTACAACTATTAGGTTCAACAAGCAATTATCGAAGCACCATAAGTATATCTTTGCACAAGAACTTCAAAACAAAATCACCGCTCAGTACGTACCTTGATTAACTTGCTAATTGTTCCTTATCAAGATACTGTGCAGAATAATGGAATGAAGCTCTGATCAACCGAGGCTGAAAATTGCCTATTAAGGGGATCCTGGAGAAGTCACCTAGAAACTGAGCAAGGAGGGAAACTGCAGCTGCACTTACTGCCTTCTACCTATTCATGCAATTTTAACTAAGCTAATGCTGCTTTTCCTATCACTGCAAATAAGCCCACTAGTTATCCACTGGTCTGCTGAGAGCATGTGGCACAAACATCTGTCTGTATTGTTTTTACAAGAAGCAAGCCATAATCTCTTCCTGCAGTGCCACACCAAAGTAGCAACCAGCTCAATATGATACATATGCTATTCCGCAGGGATCGGCTGGGGTGCCAGGTCAGCCAGGGGAACCAGGCAAAGAGGGCAAAAGGGTGAGTAAACAGAAACAGTCCACCAGTTGTGTGGCCCAACTAGTGGTTAACTGAGAACACCTGGCCTAGGGAGAGGCCGAGCAGCAGCTGAGTTGTTGTTTTAGGGGAGGCGAAGATGATCTGTGGTATTTTGCTGGGCCTGCAAAGAGTGAAGAGGAGGTGTGGGCTTGTTTGATGACAATTAATGACTACCCTTCATGGTCAAGGGGTCGCATACACTCACAGTATGACTGGCAGCACACATGGTTAAGTCCCACCGGGTAACTGTAGAGGACAGTATTTAGTTTCCTAATAAAGCCGGCTTGATTTGAGATAGACACAATGTCCACAACGGATTCAACTGACACATTACACCACATTTATTTATTTGTCACCTCTGATTGCAATAACTGTGGTTTCAAACACAAGTGTCAGGATTTGTAATGTGAATCAAAAGAATGCCTTTAGTACAGTATTGGTAATTCAGGAGGGCTTCTTTTCACAACTCATGTTCTTTGTTATATTTGAAAAGTAATTCAAAGTCCGGTTAAAGTGAAATAAGAGATTTCTTTCTTAACAAATTATACATGTTTGAAAATACAGAGCTGAAATGTGGAGTTAGACCGCTGTGTTGTGCAGGATTGTTTGGGTGGGCCTGAAATCATGGCTTGGTGACACACTGGAGCCATCCTTAACATAACACCTCCCTCACCATATGGAAACATTATAGCACATAGCATCAGTGTTGTCATGTTCTCCACCTGTGTGTTAGTGGCCAGTTCACTATATTCCGCAAGATCTCTTAGCTCTCTCAGTCTAGTTATTACATGAATAAACAACTCTGTTACATGGCACAATCATAGAGTAGTGTGTGTCCCATATAGGCCAAGATTCCGACCTGCGGCCCTTTTGCGGCATGTCATCCCCTCTTTCTCCCACCTTTCCTGTCTATCTTAGCTGTCCAATCAGTAAAGGCAAAAGCTGCCCAAAAAATAATCTTCAAAAACAAAAAAAAAAGCACAATCATAAGAACTCAAGCAAAATAGTCATACCTGATGTACCTTTAAGTCTTTTAGCCAGATTTGGCTACCTGGGCTGGGAGTTGCTGCCCACTGCTGTGAGTGCTTTGTGCTAACATTAGCTGCTGAATGAGAATCTGTTGTTTCGCATCAGCTTGTTCTTTGGCTTAGCGCCTTCAGCTGACACACCCTCAGTGTCTGAGAGGCTTTTTATCTCCTGAAACCCTATGTTAGATACTTGGCATTTTTTTTTTAAATCATGCACAGAATGATAAGCTACCTTTTGTTCAATAGCATGTTAACAAAATTATTTGCTATAAATAAGAAGATATTAAAGTGTACTCCACTCTGCCTTTTTGCTGCTTTCAGTATACACCGCTTAAATATAACAAATTGCTTGTTGAATTTAAAAAATGAGAGGAAATTTTTACCAGTATTCATTTAATGAACAATTTGGACATTGAACTGAACACAAAAGGTGCCATTAAAAAAGAATGATAGTTTCTTTTTTAATTTCAGTTTTCCGCTGATACTCTTTTTTTCAGCTAACCTAAAAACTCCCAGAGTGCAATATCGCAGTCTTTCAGGGTGTGTTTATTGTGCAAGTTGACATTGGGATGACGATAGAAGATAATATATTGTGCAGCCCTACATTAGTATTGCATAATCATTGTAACATGTTGGGCTCAAGACTACCCAACAGCAAGAATGTTATTGTTCCTTGACTTCAAAGCTGACAGGCAGCGTTCAAGGACAGGTGGAGAGAGTGTCCTTTTGTGTCCCGCTTAATAGACTCGGTGTGAATACCTTCGTCTGTGTCACCGCAATCAAAAATATTTCCCATCAGACGACTGACTCTTCCAGTTTGTCTTACAGAGAATGGTCATAAAACAGGAAGAAAATATTTGTCTCTGCTGGAGCAAAATGTAAAATACATAGCAGGTTGAGCTGCGGAGCACCCATACTGTAAGTAGGTCAGGCAAATGTTCTTTTCAGATTAAGCAAGAGTTGAGATGATGCACAATACCCGAGACATCTGGACACAACTATCTCAAGAATTCCACCCTTCTGTGTGTGTGTGAATGCATTCAAACTCCAAACTTGTTCCAATACCATTAAGAATTTACGACCTGTCATCGGTTGTATTATTTCTCAATGGATCATTTCCCACAATGCATAAGGTAACAGAATATATTTTCAGGGAAAATTTTCGCGGTTAACAAAAGTGAGCTCACAAGCTGGTGCAGATGTTTTTCGATGCTGTTGTCTCTCTGCTTCATTAGTTCGGTGTTATATCGTACCTAACCTGACTTAAGTAGGTACGGAGCGTCAAAGGGACTGAGTGTCAGAGGCATCAATTATGCTGTGCACTTTTCTTCTGCAACACACTTTTATGATGAATCATTCAATCATAATTGGTTTTGAGAAATAGAAAGCCACTCTGCGTTTGATGTTGTGGCTTCTTGGTTTCCTATATACCCGTAATATTTTTTGCACTGGTTGTTTCTTTGAAGATTCTGTAGGTAAAACAGCCACAGGGCTTTAAACTGGCCATTTCAGACTTTCTGCTGTTGTTGTTGCTGAAGACACAGTTCTGATCTATTAATACCCTGTCTTTGATGACTGGCTGACTTCATGGTGACTGTTAATGTGCTAAGGTTTCTGCTTATTCTTAGCTCTAGGAGTCACATGTGGCCTCCAAGTTGTTGACCAATTTGTGTTTCTGCAGTTTGACAGCCTATTTTAGGAAGGTGGACATGTATCATTATCAGGGGCTCGCTAGTGGCCAGCTGATACAGCAGGAGACTCTCACCCAATTAGCAACTCTTGTCCACCCTTGCAACTTATTGGTTTCACTAAGAGCCATAGCTGATGCACACATGATGCAGAATGTCTTGACACAGACTGACCACTCCACAACCTTCATAGAATAGCTGGGAGTGGAAAGCTTTCACAAGGCCTTAGATTCAAGCCAGACCATCTCTCACACTGTCTACTTCAATTTATTGTTGAGGAAAATACAACCACTCTAAGCCATTTAGATTTACTTCAAGGAGATGTGGAGGACATTGTACTGGGGAGAAGAGGAATGATGCCATTTGCACTGATCCTCCTCTAAAGCTTAAAGCAACATATGCAAGAGCGGATATCAAGGGCAGCCACCCAGCCCCCTGTGTGACCCCATGTCTAACATTCACAGAATCTTGATTTTATCTTATTACCTTGATGGATGACTAGTTCAGTTTGTCAGGGTGGAGGTAAGGGCCAGTCCAACCATGTCTAGGAATTTATGGGAATGTATTTCCCCCACATTACACATTGCCATTAATAGTAATGTGAATGGCTTGGTTTTATCTATTATGGATGGCATTGACACAGAATGGCAGGTAAAGAGTAGGACTTTGGGATTCAGTGGCACATTACAGCAGATCAAAAAAGAGGACGGAGCAGCACCAGTAAAAAAGGATATGTCCCCCTCGCTAACTGTGGCATGCTAAAATATTAATCAGGTGCTGTGATGATGTGCTAAGCTGCGTGTTGTCATTGTAGGCCGACCCTGTCCTACACAGGTCGAGGAGGCGGAGGACGTGCACGGAATTTTAGAGTTTTCAGTGTATTAGGTTTGCTCATACAGCATGCAGTGCAGAGGAGTGCCTGCCTGACACCCATTAATATATAAATACGAGGGACTGTATAATAAAGTCTTGTGTGCATACAAAAGTGATGTGGGATTTGGTGGCAGAAAGCATTGCAAAAGTACCAAATGACGTAATTTTACATGCTCAAAATAGGACTGAAAACCTACGCTTGGTCAACGCAGAGCATCCAAAATACACAGGAACGCTACGGCAAGCTTGGTTTATTCATGTCGTGCCAAGTCTTCCCAGCATACTCTGCTCCGGTAGTTGGCACAGTGTTGTGAGTGGGTTCAGTGCAGACATGGGTTCATCCCTGGGCAAGGCAGTAGGTTCCCGTGGATTAATAAATAATCACCTTACGAAATCCCCCCATTACAAGGTGGGTCTTGGAGTTTTAATCCATGCCTAACACCACATTAAGCCTTATTAGCTGTATAAATTTACCTGTATAGAAAAAATAAGTCCTTACTAAATATAAGTCACTGACAAATGCCATGTTGATTCCCCTGGTTTGCTATGGAAGCTATGTGATGTTGTCATACAGGCATTGGACAGGCATTTATTCTAATTAAATGTTTTGGGACCGTTGCATAAGCCTTATAAATAGATTCTCTCTTTATACATACCTATTTTTTTCTGTTGATAAACGATGCACTATTTTCTTTGATGCAATTTGCAGAATGCAAATTTGTGAATGCAAAGCATTTGAAATCCCCTTTAATCAGCTGAGGGCCTCTACTGTGTCAACGATTCCTCGTGTCCTGCTTTGGAAAATGCACACGTCTGACAGATGTGCTGCACAGTGTTTGTTCTTATTAGACATACTGTAGCTGTGCTAGTGCAGAGATGATGAAACTCCAGCAAGCCCTAGAGGAAGCAGAACAGTGCAACTGCTCTGTCTACGGATGTGTTCTCTTCAAATGAATTATGCAGTGTAGATCCTCTTACTGATTTATTCACTTATTTATTTAAATCTAGTTGGTTGGTTATTTATTTAATTATTTTTGCTTAGAGAGTGAACTAGTTGGCACAGTTGGCAAATAATGTGGGTTGATAGCCGATGAGTTGCAGCTTGCTAATAAACAAGCAGGTGTCCTTTTATTGTGCATGAGGTGAGGAGATTTCTGTAATCTTTGATGCTACAAAGACTTTACCATCAGGTAAGAGGTGACATTCTCAACTCACTGCCTTCTCATTGTCTCTAGTATCTCTCTCCTGGTAAATGGCTCCTGTGTCTCATAGAAATATTCGTCTGCATATGTCAGCTGGGGATGTGGGTGGATGACACTGTGCCACATGAGATGGCTGCCTCATATGTCAAGGAGATAAGAAGGGACAAAAGTCATGATAAAAGTGAAAAGGC